AGACGCGTTTCAACTAAATAAAGAGAAGTATGTGGACATTGTTTTATTAGCATCACTAAAGATCTTGTAAGAACAATAAGAAAAGAAAACAAAAGATATATAATAAACCTGATTAATATATCAATTAATCCGTGTTGATCCTAAACCCATCAATAAACTAAATTTACTTCTACCTAAGGGTTTTCATAGATGGGCTTGATGTAAACTAATCGGGTAGTTTGGAACTCAGATCAAGGAAAACGGAATCCCAATCTTGATTTGGAACTGTACATTAGATTATTATGTGGTTAGGCAAAAGGTGATCAGTTTCGGAGAGAATGAGATAAGGCGTAGTCAAATTTATATCACTATTCCGAACATGAAATGGTAACAAGACTAACATGTTAAATTTTAGACTCAGAAGATAGATGTAAGGACGTAAAACAACATAGCTCGGTGGGCTCATCCACATTGTTACAGTTTCAAACCTATATGTGGTGAATAAAAAGACTTCTAAATTGCAGTTTGCTTTTATCAAGCAAGCAGTAGGGGGGTATGTGGAATTAATTTGTTAAAGCTTAATGAATTGGTGAAAAACATCGGAAATAATACGTCAAAACTACTAATCGGAATGTTTCACCATAGATTTTTTATAAAGATGAAAGAAAAGTCTATGATTTTAGAGTTTCATCTCAGGATAGGAGTTAAGGAAAACCATTGTGAATTTTTATTATGCCGATTGTACACATAGCATAACAATGTTTATGAACCATTGATAATTTGTTTATATGTACCATAAGAAGCACGGTAATATACATTTGCAAGGAATTGTTTTCTTAGATAAAGTGAACACAACCCTCTCAGTGGATAGCTTGGAAATGAGACTTGACGAACAGGAACTCACCTATGAATTGTCATCTTCCGCTTGGTCCAGCTGTGTCTGATTCATGTCTCGTAATTTGCCTACTCTTATCACCGCTGTATATTAGTGACTAAGTTCCATCTCGTTTGTTGTCATCTCCGTTGCCTTATTGTTCTTACAATTCTGTTATCCCACAATATCTGCATTATCAATTAATTAACTTATTTGTATATTTATTTCTTGAAACAATCGTCTTGTCTTAGCATTCAAATGATCACTTTTTTACTTTTGCATTGAGATCAGTGAACCTATTTCGTGGTAATCTGATCTCTGCTAGTTCCAGAAATTCTATTGTCCTGAGATAAACACACACATCTAACCCACATATAACTACAGGACTAGAATTAGCTGGATCAAGTGGCTCAACTACCACCATTTGAGCACCATTTATTATCTGAGATCATGCTAAAATAACAAGAAGCGAGGGCAGGGCAATCAATCGGTTTATACAAGCTCGTGACAAAGATATTGGAGATATTGGAACCAACCCAAACGGCCAAGAAAGGGAAACGGGGGCAGATAACGAGAAAATAAAGCGAACGAAAGCGTGAATAAAGGGGAAATGTCGATTTTTCGCCTTTATGTTGGTTATTTGAGGGAAACGTCGATGAAGTTAACTTCATCGTCGTATGTAAGACACAGAGAATACACCGCCCCTCAAAAGCAAAAGATTCCGTCGAAGGTATTACAGCTTTATCAGATGGAGAAAAATATTTCTGAAGTGTGGCACTTTCACTTTAATCCCTTTCTGTCTCGTATTGGCATATAACCAAACCGAGAGGTGAGGATCGATAGGGTTTCAAATCGTTTTAACAAGAAAATACCTTAACTGTCTCATTATGAAGAATCTACGCCCATGGTTTCCCAATGAGCGACGTAAACCTACATGTAATGAATTTGACGGGTAAAACTACCACGATAACGACAAATGTCGGACGAAATTTCGTCCGTCCGCTACGTTTTCTCCAAATAATCTATTTTCAATATCCAGTGTCTTCGTAATGGAATTGTGTAAAACTATTGATTTCCTTGTACTTGCTTCTTGGTTTAAGGGCATAGTTCTTACTTTCAAAGATTTACAGCGTAATACAACCACGTAACTAGTCTCAGTGAAGTTTGATATCCAATGTCCTTGTCACGAGTTTGTATTATAAGAATGAGAGAGCGAACAGAGATGACAACACGCGAGACGGAACTTAGTCACTAATATGTAGTGGTGATAATAGTAGGCAAATTATGGGACATGAATCAGACACAGCTGGTCCAAGTGGAAGATGAAAATTCGTCTGTGAGTTCTTGTACGTCAAGTCTCATTTTCAAGCTATCCACTAAGGTGCTTGTGAACACTTCATCAGGAGAGCATTCCAAACAGGTAAACTAGTAACAAAAAGAAAGACAGCATATCTGGGTGTTCGCTTCTTGATGCGCTCTGTTTCGAGGGTTGCCTCAAGGAGCGTGGCAATGATGTTCTGCCAATATGATTGAGTCGATGTTATTCGGTGTACTTAATTTGTCGTATCAAGTCACCCCTTATTGCACTCTAGATCAGTGAGAATAACACAAGTGTTCGAGACTGTCCTCACACGGCCCTGTTCCAAAAGGATCCGGTTTTCATCGAGATATTTAAACAGTTCCTTACGAATAATCTTTTCTAAAATTTTAGCAACGACGCTAGTTAGGCTGTAGGGTCGGTGAAATATCACTGAATATCGAACAGATCATCGATCCCTGTCAAGGTCAAGGATAGTCAACACGCACCAATCGATCATGCGCCATGGACTGGACCACGCGGCAGTGGTTGTACTGTCACTTCTGTACTTTCGTGGTTGTACCTTACCTAATATATTCTTGTAATAACGTCCTTTGTGTTGTACAGTCTCCATAGCATCCATGGCCCCTTGTTACGTCGATGGGGGCAATCCACGTAGGGTGCTGGTCGCGAGATGTGACTTCAGCGTTAGTTGGTTCGTCACAATTCTCGTCTAACTCTTGTAGGCCCCCAATCATTCGACGATAGACCATCAACGTTGATGATCATCTACACTGATGAGAAAGACTTCGAATAACACAACCTATCATTATGATCTTTTCTATTGCACTCTATACTTATTATTTTTCCTTTTTAATTTGAGTCAATCTGTACACTTAGTGCCGATCACTTGTTGTGCAAGCTTCGGGCATTACTGTAGCAAATCCAAACCTATTCAAATGGCTTCGTGCAGCACCCACAGTGGTTTCGGCATCCTTCTCTATCGAAGCCTCACAAACAGAAAATTTACAATTTTTAGGTCCTTTTCTCCTGCATTTAACCCAAATTGTAGTTCATATTTGGCTTTTTGTCTTTTTACAGGATCTGCGAGCAGAAAGTGCTTACGGACAAAAACCTGAACCCTTTAGTTTATGTCCATTCTACAATATTAAGTCCCGGTCATTGGGAGATTTAAATACTACTTTAAGTAACCTAGTTTGATTAGGTTTTAAGTTCACTTGGTTACCTGGTGAATTCACCTTTAGCTAGGTGACTCCGGAGATATCCTGAGGCATTGGTTAATTTAATAGATGTTTTATCAACCCAATGTCATGCTCAGATCGAATTTTAGGTTCAGAGCTTTCACTCTCCCTGATTTTGTGTAAGATAACTGACCTGTCACTGTGATCATTCTTTAATTTCTTGGCTACTTTTTAAAGGTTGGCTTATTTTAAATAGCTTTATGTCGTTTCCTGTTTATGACCTATACCCGTTCATCAACTTTCGTTGAATTATTAACCATAGTCACATCAAACATACTGTGGGATTCCGGCAGATTATCGATGACTTGGGTAGTCAGGCAGTTTTTCTGCAAGAAACAGATCTAGCTTTGCGAGTAAGTTTCTGAAGGCGTTTCCTGCCAGATACCATTTAGAGGATTGGGGGTAGAAGAAACTTCCTTTCTTCGGTTCTTATTTATGACAGACTTCCTTGAAAACTGTCTTTCCTCCTATAATCGATGTCAGTCAACAGCTATCGAGCTCATTTGAGGTGGCCTTACATCAATTTGTGTGTCAACAGAGCAAGTCGTGTTCATGTGTCCCGATCTCTTTTGCTAATACACTTTTGTCAGCATTTACCATTGAAATGGCTACATTCATCAAGCTGTTGGTGTCCGACCAGCACTGCTGACAAAGCTATATGCAACAGCTTTTACTAAACCGTTTGAAAGCTTCAGGAGTCGAATTCGTGCAAACTTCGCGGTACCAGCCTTTGCACTAGTCGAACTGTATACCGATTTCAACGAGGTATCGGCAATGTGAGTGTTGGTAACTTCTCCTCTTTCACTATCTAAACACCAAACAAGGGTTTTCAGCAAAAAAGCTAGATACAACAATACCCAGTGACAAAGGAAGTTGTCGAACAAAAAAAGGAAAAATTGTTAGAACCAAAAGTGCTAACAAATACAATGAAAACAAAGTACTCAGAATAACCGACGACTAACCACTTTAAAAACGAAAACGATACTCTTAGCGAATACATTAGCTGGAATAAATTCAATTTCAGTGTGAACATTAAGCATGATATGTAATAAACGATCAAAAAGATAAAATTTGCTCAGCAAGGAAAATACCACTGTCCTTTCTAAATAGCACAGCGTAATGTGACGTTTCGCTCTATTCATAGAATCGCTTAAGTTTATGGCGTTGCTATCCGTAAGAGTCGTCAAATGCTGGAATTCACTGCCGACTGAGCTAGTCCAAGCGACTTCCCAGGATTCCTTTCAGAGGAAACTTGACTTATCCCTGAGGATAACATATTATTTTGGTTTACCAAATTCTTTTCTTCCTCTACCATGGTTAATATACCTAGGTTTTTGCCTAGAGGTATTGGTGATCCACTGCTATTAGACACGTAAGCCCGTTAAGCGAGTGCTTCTTCTATTCCGTCCTCAACCATTTGAACCTTTTGAACCATTTTAGCAATTGTAAGGATTGTTGCATTCTGAATAAGTTTTTTTGCTCAATTTTGTCACAAAGTCAGCACTATTGAAATCTGATGAACTACATGATAAAAGTAATTAAGTGGTATGAACTTTGTTTTAGTATGTGGATACATTTACATTGCCAGGAGCAACGTACCTTGACCTTGATCGATTGGATGAAATGTTTTATAACGTGTTCGAAACCTTAAGCTACCAACTCATAGTTTGGATTCCCATATTGTCTCAATACCATCCTCTTGTTATTTCTGGTTGTTTTGGACTGCTTTTGTGATCAAATATAAGTTTGACCTAAGTGCCTAATGAGACTTGTGGAGTTAGTTAGTATAAACTTATTTTGTAATTATTTTTTTTTTATTATTCGCATTCTTACTTCATTTTACATAATTTATACAACCACTATTATTGTCTACAAAACCGCTGTTTGAAACATTTTGCTTTGATCTTCCGTTCTCGTTCTGTAGCCCACAAATACACCGCTGTATACATATCTCGTTCTCACTTATCAACTGTCACAGTGAATTAATTCTAACATATTTACTATATACGTTCACAGATCATATTTATACCCCCCAAATTCGCCTGTTTTGGGGTAGATTTCAAGGTTTTCCCAAAAGTTTGGGAAGATTTTTTGGGGGTTTTGTGCCGTTTCCTCAAAATTTTCTATAGAGGATTCTGCGAAAATTTTATAAAAACGCATAAAACTTGCCCCAAAATCAAGGAGTTGAGTTCATAACGCGATTATTCTGGACACATCTTGTATTATTTAACCACGTTTGGGATCACTGTCTACTTATAATTGTGAATTACGAGACCAAATATATGAACTTGAACAGTTTAAGTAACGTCCGGTATTTCGCTTTGTTTAGAATCTATATATCGGTATAATAACAGATTAGACTTTTTCGTAATAACTTTCTCATTATTTTGGGATTAATATATTTGGTCAACCACTATTTTCGGCTCACTTTTTCTCATTTGGAAGAAATCTAGATATTTTCACATACTCCTGCCCACACTCTGTGGTGTTTGTACGAATTAACAATTCCTTCGTATGTGACGATTGCTCGATTTCGAATTCCAAATACAATACGTTCGTTCGTGATCATCACACACTTCTTCGTGAAATTGTTGTAGCTGTAAATAATTCCCCAAAATCAATAGTTCATTAAGTGTTCGACATTGGATGCTGACCACGTGTTTAAGTGGACTTGTTTAGCTGAAGGCTTTCGGTCATGCACCAGATCATGTACCAGATCACGTCGGGCTCACCAATGATGATGCAACGGATATTCTAGTTTTACAACTAGATACCAGTAGCACCTTCTAAATTCGATTGTTCCCAGTCAGATAGAAATCAGAAGTCAGACGAGAAGAGGCAGGAAATATATATTTGATTCGTTACCAATATATCGAGGACCTTTTCTATGAGCTGGCTAATGAAACGTAGGAGCTGTGTCCCACGCCGAGTTGAAACGTGATCTGGTGCGGATGCATGACCGAAAACCTTCAGCTAAACAAGTCCACTTAAACACGTGGTCAGCATCCAATGTCGAACACTTAATGAACTCTAATATACATGAATATTTATATAAAAATGTTAGACCAATCAAGGCTATTTGAGTCATTAATAATCACATACCTCCATCGTTTCCCAACGGAGTTCGCTCCCGTCTACTTCATATAGCAGAAGCCATAGGGATTCGTACATTCCATCCCAATTTATGTGTACAGAAGAAATTCGTAACCCCCCTATCCCTTCCATGGCCGGACATAACTTAATAATTGACATTATTATTATTTGTAAAAAATTTTTTTTTAAATTTTGGTTATCATTTTTTGTTTGTTTGTAATTTTCTACCTCTTTCCGTTTGTATTCTTCACTATCTATTTACTTACATACTTCTTATTACGTAATGATTTTAATGTTTTGTGATTACTATTCCAGACTATTTACCCACGTTTGACCTCTTAATTCTTATGTTTAATTATTGATAAGACTTTTGTTATCGTAATTTACTATTCTTACTACTATCAGTACCCCTGTCTTCCCACTATCAACTTGTACTTTTAACTATTATTATGCTTGGTAACGTATTTCTATTTCATTGTGATTATTATTGACTCAAATAGCCTTGATTGGTCTAACATTTTTATATAAATATTCATGTATATTAGAGTAAAGCCTGATGACGATCTAATTGAAAACAATTGTTCGCTTACATATGTTGTTCTAATTTTCACAATGGGAATCTTTAATATACTTAATGAACTATTGATTTTGGGGAATTATTTACAGCTACATTGTTATATTCCTGGATTCCTTGTTTGCACTATAATTCAAATACTCTTAATTATCTCACACTCCCACAGCACACAAGCTACTTTCGGGCTTAACTCAAACCTAGCAAAAGCTGGACGTTACAATATCAGCTGTATAATCGGCTTTTGATTTTACCCAGTCCTACTATAAAATAGAAATTCATAAATCTGTACAACTCTGTCATTATTTTACATAATGAGACAAAGAATAAGTTAGTTGATGCACATGATACTTGTTCGTTTTTAACTGGGGGTGTAAACCATCCTAAAGATATCAATTTTAGAACAGATTCATTGAAACTTTCGTGTGAACTATGAAAAAATGTAACAAAGTAATATCAAAGTTCATTCAGATGTACAGTTTTTTCACAAAAATAGTCAGTTTATTTACCTAAAATTTCCTCCTTAGGAAAATTACGTGAGTCACCGATATTGAGTCCCGAAATTTTTACTGAATTTGATCTTTTTCTCAGAATTGACCCAATAATTTCTCAATTCCGGAATCCCTTCGGATAGTTTCAACTGAGTTTGAGAAAATATCCTTATTCTCGTACATGAAATCCCAAAGTGTCGACTGATTCTGCGATTTCACCCACGATATATACAAAATATCCGATTTATCAACGTTAACGACTAGCTTATGTTTTGAAAAAAAAAACACTGTCTTTTCTAAATTTGTTCTTATGGAAGCCTAATTCTGTGCCAGTCGTTCTAGAGGAAATTAGCTTATGTTGGTTTCGCACTTATTGTCTAACAATACCTCTCAAATTTTGTTTCGCTTAACATACTGACGTCACCCAGTTTACGAACATAATACAAGTAGTTTTTCCATATCTTATACCTTTGTCATGTACTACTGCAATAAGAAGACTGGTGTATTAATGGGAATGTTTATTTGAATAAATAAATACTTTGTATGACAAAAAATTCCTTTTTTATGTTTACAGATGCTAGTTGGCAAAGGAGACCGAATATTCACCATCACAATTTAGTTACGTCCATATTATTCTGAAACAAATTTGGGAAATCATAGTGTAAGTCAGTGATACCAATGAATTATATATATATATATATATATATATATATATATATATATTCAAAAGTTTATTGAATGCTGTCATAAACTTGATGAACAAAGTTATCATGTTTACATTTGTACATAATTCATCTATATCCTTTGAGGTTATCTGGATATTGGTATCTGTATTTGTCAAATTATAGTAATAAACAAAAGTTTAAACCTGACTTATTTGATAATGCAACCCAAAACAAGCAACGAAGTGGATGTCAATTACAATAAGTCTTATTCTGTTGGAGCATGTATAAAAATGTTGGAATAATAGACTTACTTAGCATTATATGATAAATTGTGTTTCAAATGATTAACTTTGAAATACTCCACATTTCTGCCTCCACCATGCCTTTTTGTTTCATCCAGACCTATAGAATCATAGATCTTACCGGAAATTCGTCTTTGTACATTTCTATATAAAGTTAACGGAAATATAATACTGAACTCACTACCTGTGTTTCAGTAGTTCATTATAAAGCAAATGGTTTGTCAACGTTACTGGAGTTTGGGTTTTATTAATTGTGCTAAATATTTTGAACTACATTTCATATGTTTAGTTATATCACCATGGTTAGTAGTATTATTTGCACTCCGCTTCTTATTTTCTAAATTTTGTTTTATTATGGAATGTATGGTCATTTAAACTGATCCTGATTTATACCCGATTATATGTTAATAATGTATGATTTATTATAAGTTGGGAAGGCTACTTGATATCTTTTTACTATCGACTCTCATCCATTGATCCATTTTCTTCCCTATTCATCATTGTTGTGGTTATAAGTCATTCATTTGCATTCTTCTGTGGTATAGAGTCTCCTGAACGATACACTTCTTTGTCAACATACTTTTTCACTGTACATTTGATTAGTTGGTGGTGGTTATATGCGAACTGTTTTCACTGGCATACATTTGCTTTCATTTGTTATATAATATTTTGATGTAGAACTTTTCATGTTTGGTCTTTTTCAGCGTTATATATATATGACATTTGATGCTTGAAGTTCTTCAAGTGCAAAACGTTTTTCACTCATGGACTATTTTTGGAGAATTCTCGTTTGTTTATTCGGATTTATTAATCAAGGTAAATGTTAGTATTTATTGGTAAAATGACGTTCTTACACTGATAAAATTACTTCCCCGGCATCTAAAAAATGTTATTTTCTGTCACCAAGAAGTTAATCTGTATATTTCAACAAATTTTTCAAAAATGATCTGTTGTTAAGCAGTCTATAGTCATACTGTGTACTATAGTCAATAAGAAACAAAACATCTTTCAAAAATTGACGTTGACTATCGCTAATATTTTGTGAAGATTTTATATAGCTGGAATCATGAGTCAATTGAAGCTAGACCACTATGGAAAACCTGGAAGCACTGGACAGCCGTTTTATCCTATCGTAGGACTCCTCAGCAGTGTGCATTCACGATCCCGTCTCTCGAGGTTCGAGCCCAGGACCTACCAGTCTCGTGCCAGAGCACTGAGTCGGCCGGCATCCAACGGTGTTAATGTCTAACCTCAACTAATCCACGAAATTGCCCGACCAACTTCCACTGTAGTGAGGTATATACCTGTCTCTACCTGACATGGATTAGCTCCATGTGAAGACGTAGTTTTCGATCAGTGAATGACAAACACCTGTAAATCATGTAGTGCTTTGATACTTTATTATTTAAAACAATTAGTCCCTTTGATAAATTTCAATAATGCAATGAGAAGACGAAGTTTATCAAAATTATATGATCTATTTGCTCAATACTTTTCGAACAATCTGATTACACATCTGATACACATATATGTGTTATATTCCGTGGAGAGTTATGAATGGTAACCTTGAGGACTATTTATGGACCAATGTGATATGTATATTTCCTATTGTACAATTGTTAAGTAACTAAACTATTCATATTTGTGTCCCTTATATTATGAGCTTTTTTTACCCATAGACTATTATTATAGGATTTACCATTGATGAATTATCCCTAGTCCATTCATTACTGTTTCCCTTATTCACAGCCACATTTGCTCAAATCTTGTACAAATGTTATTTTATATTTTATGGTACGATGCGGTCTGTTTGATTGGTATATAAACCCAGTATGCTTGAGAATAATGATTCATATTGCAGAGGCTGTTATTGGTGTTCTGGAATTAACTGGTTGGGCTAGGCGGAAAGCAGGACTGATAAGTACTCAAGACTGCTCATACGGCTTTTGTGTATCATTGGGCGATCAATAAATTCACTGCTCTCTGATAGGCGGTATTATCACTTCATATATTAACAGGGCACATACGCAAGCATTCGTTATAACATTAAGACATTTTTATATGAAAATTAAAAGGTCAACTAGATAGGTTAAAGGTAAATGATCTTAACAAGTATATGTGTAATCAGATTGTTCGAAATGTATTGCACGAGTGTATCACATAATTCCGATAAACTACGTCCTCTCATTACATTATGGAACTTTATTGTGATTTTTTTAAGAAAGTACGCTTTGTTAGTATTTCAACAACTTGTCTTACTATTATCATATTTCCTAAAAATAATTTTGTGAATTTCCCAAGCAATTATTAGTTCACTTCATTACTATGTGAATCAATATCACTTGAGTTTTTGAGTAGATTTACATGTTTTTCCACTGATTTTTGTGTTTTTAGAGTAATTACCATAGGTAACATTCTTGGGAAGTGCACCAAATTAAGATACATCGTTAGTTCATGTGTGAACCTCTCTCCCTCTCGAGATGCTCTTACATGGTCACGCGTATACAGCTTCTGCCAGGGAAGTCCTACTCTCTGCCTTCTCACAGTGGCATTACTGTTGTTTACGAAATTGGGAGGACGAAAAGCGAGTGTCCGGCGCTTTATCCGGGTTAGTGGACACGGAAAGTCCACCTAGGGGAGATGGAAAACCCTGATTCTAAACCAATGATGCACATGGACTCCAGTATCCTGAGGGAACAAATGGCGTACGAATCAACCGTTGGTCACCGGCAACCATGGGACTGCATCTCCTTACGATGCTCCACTGCCTTGTGGATCAAATCTTTAAGTCAAAGGCTCCGTGTGTGGCCCTCTAAGAAAACGACCTGCTTCAGTTTGGGCACCTGGGCAGTATCACAGCCCTCACACAAATCAAATGAGATTTGTGTATGTGGTGCTTCTTTGTACCAATATTTATGTGTTCACATAAAGAAATAAATATACATTTACTGTAAATAGAAAAATTTAAAATCCTTTGTGTAGCTTTTCAATCAAAATCATACCATGAATTCTTGTTTACGACTTGTGATATTCTTAGTTTCATTTCTGGGGATTTGCAGTCCTACTGTATAGCTAAATAATATCAGGATGGTTTACAAACAACCCAACTATCTAAGCTTATTATATATACATCAATAAAGCTGCTCATTTGTTAACTGTTGCAAAGATGAAAAATGTATAATTTCAAAATGGTGTACTATAAGATGTTAATGGTATATGCTACTGAGTGAGACGAAATTGGAAAGTTTACTCTTAATAAACACAAGTTTATCTCGATCATATTTACTAGTCTACCTGAAAACTATGTAACCAAATCAACAACACTGCTAATAAGTCCCGTCCTGGGACGAAACAAACGTCAAATGCTATCAGGTTTTCAATAGTTGTCTAACATTGATCGATTCATGAATCCAATGAAATTATAAAAAGAATATCGATGCTTCAATGAAGAAAGTATTCTTCCGAACACTGGCATTTTCTTGAACTGTACAGTCGTAATCGCGTATAATTTTACCACCTGTACTATATTATAAAATATAATATTCATCTATCAGGTGTTATTAACTCTTTCACAAAGTAAATATATAATTTTTATTTAGTTACGATCCTGAATTCATCATTAAATAGTCCATGTAATGTGTGCTTACAACTGTACGCACATATTACATTAATGTCACTAGTTTCAACTCATTGGTAAGGTGAGATGTCAATGATAGATAAATGAAAATCTAAAAGTCATGTCAAATAGAGATTTGATAGAATTACAAATGTTTTAGACATAGAATAACTCGTATTAACTATCTGATATAGGCCAACTGATTAACCTTAAATAGGTCAATCTGTTTAGGATGCCCAATTATCACAAATCAAACGTTACATCATTTAAACGTTATTAATGCAGAAATTGAGACTTGTTATTAGGCAACTATACTTGATCTATTCTATGCTATATATGATACGTACTTAGTAGGAAAGTTATTGGATAGCTAATTATGTCGAACGATCAGACTACGGTTAATAGATCGACTGAAAAAAATTAGATCAGTCTGTTAAGGAGATTCTGGAAAGGGTAATGCTGCGTTCTCACTAAATGCTCGTTGATATCTACAATGAAAAGTAGTATTAAGTGTGGTATCCACCTACATAATCCATGACTACATACCATAACCGTAACACTCCGTACCCAGGAGGACACCGTCATTTGTCCTTTCAAAAGAGACAAGATGACTGAGTGTACTGCATCTCGAACATGTGATCCATTCACTAGAACCGTTTTCGACGCTTTGAGTTTAGAACAAATAACATCCAGCACAAATATCAAAATTTTAATCGTCAGATTCTTCACTAGGCTCAAAGATCTAATCGGTCGCTTGCATAGATACATTGGTTTCAGAACCGTCTTCACCTTCATTACTGGATATAACAGAATCCAGATCTACATTTTCGTAAGTGTCATTTCTGCTACTGATTTCTTCCATTCCCTGGTCTATGGAAATGGGTAATGTTTCTCTAGGGTTGTTATGCGTATAGTTACCTGTATTAAATGGGAATTGTGAATAAATCCAGGAACTGGACTTGAATCAACGGTTGCAGCGACAGAACCAGACAAAATGTGTAACAGATAATTGACTATGGACCGAAATTCTTGATGATTAATTGACATTTGACTGATAGGCTTCATTATATCATTTCTATTTGGCTTCCCTTTAACTACTGTGTTTGCTATTCGTAATGATTCATTAGGGTTGAACTATTAACTGAATAAAACACATCGTCTTTCACAAAAAATAATTCGGCTGATCAGTTCATTGAACGGAAGAGCGTAGTTAATAAGATGTCGACATGGTAACTGCATTTCTCATCTACAAGAGCAGTTGTATTCCAGAACATCCTTATTGATAATATACCTCCTTGTGTGATCTATGACTGTAAAAGTATTTTCCTATAATCTTATTAAATAGAGAACTTCTTTACACGTTTCAGTTTTCAGTAACTGACTTGCTTCCTGACTGATACGGCTTTTTATTTCCAGTAATTCCGGACTGCTATGGAACACGACTTTTCTAGACACTTTCCTTGTTTCATGCGAACTAGCATGCAGTCAGTAGCCACTCCTTAAAAATAGATGAAGCACACAACACAACACCGGACATTTACGATTAAAGTTGTACATTTTCATCATCTTGTGCGTTGTTTCCACAAAGTTCGTGTTATTCTGAACCAACAGCATTCCTCGTGGTCTGAACTCTTCAGTCCACTTTTCTTTTTTGTGAAGAAGATTATTTTGCATGTAGCGGAGAAACGTCAAACTGTCTTCTTGAGATAGTGGAGAATATTTGTAGCTCAGATGGATGATTTTGATGGAGAGAACAAAACTCCATCAAGTCTGTCTTCCTAAATAACATGTAAGTAAGAGTTAAATTTACACACATTTACTCATTGGAACAACTGTACGTTTACAGTTCAGCGTTCATCAGACGAAGAAAAGGTTGGAATGTTTCAGATGAGATATTCTATGAGTAAGTTATTGGTTAAACGCAGTAAACATACCCGCCGAAGAACATTGCGTATTATATGTATCGAAATAGTAAACGATGCACTTCTGGAAAGTTATTAGATAGCGCAATGTTTATGGCAGGACTGTCGTCACTAATGAAAAATCCCATAGGTATCCTTACCGAAAAACTGACTCGAAAGAAGTTTAAGGATGTGCTAATCACCTCGGAAGTTTCCCTGGCAAGAAATTCAAATGCTACTGGCATTACCTTCATTGAGGCATCTGATACCACTATCTCGTTTAGAGGTGTTTCTTCCTTGTTACACTTGTGTGTATCATCAATACCTAAAACATTGGAAAATCAACGAGCTACATTTTTCTGATCTACTTTTGAAAAGAAATAACATTCCAGACAACATTTCACTTCACAATGCACCTGAGCTGTACATTTAATCTCAATTATGTGTAGCTAACGTCTAAGAATCATCTACTTAGTCAAGGTTAAACTGACCTAGAAGTTTCGCTCGTTCAAATAAACGTCCTCTTATATCAAAAACATTTTGGGCAATTATTTTCTTCATGTAAATTGCATGCATAAATTGATGACAACAAAAACTGCAGCTTCGGGCATCAATAAAGGACACATTGTATTCATTCGCACAGCTGCCAAACGACGAAGGCTAGGATCTTTCTTATAAGTGATACGCAGCAACGTGTGATTATGACGAACCGATCATCTGGATACTGCATAAAAGCCTTCCATCAACCAGACAAATATATATGATTCGCACGCACTACCCAAAGGCTCTCTAGACCTATGAATGAAGGATTTACTTCGGAACAAACCCTAATCTCGCGTGCAAAGTTGTTGGTCACTAAGTGTGACCCTTCCTTTTGAATACACATTTTATATGAAATTCATCTTGATTTCGATGACTGTCTCGTATTATGAAATGGCTGAAAGTCACGTTCTCATGAACTCCTAGCTGTCTCAGGAGTTCAACTTCCGTTGAAAATCCTACACCAATGAACATCTCTCTGAAAATCAAATAAGCTTCATTGTTTGCGACCGACATGGCTGACAATAACGCTAACCAGAACTGGTATTGCTAAACCAAACTCACTATTTTTGTGTCCGAAAATGAGCACTCCATTGGCCGGCTAAAATGACACTTGATTGGTGGGAGAAGAGTACAGGTGAATAATGGGGAGAGGACGGTTAATAAATTTCATACCCTTAACAAATTATTCTCATTTATAACATGCTACTCCTCAATTATCGTCTTATAAATACCGATTAAAGCCTACTACCAGGTTGAGATGTTTGTAGATGGCGTCGAGTCTTGATTGACTATGATCACCACCAAAATGAGATTACGCGCCCAAAAACGAGTTGGTCCCTTTGATAACTCGAAAACCAGAAGACTGTAACTGGTCCAGATAGAGTATATTTATTGGCAATCTCGTGGTATCGAATGAATACCAAGATGTACCAAGGATTACATGCAATAAGAGCAGAGCGTAAGAAAGTTCGAACCAACAAGATGGATAGTGGAACGAGAAATGACTTTGATACAGTTAAACAACAACAAGTACAGTAAAACAATCGCTGGTACAATTGGTTATAATAATAATTGTTTCTATTGTACCAATCGCGTTCTTGCCGAAAAAAAGCAGGTCACTACATGTTACTTTGTCATGTATAATACCTACATTAATATTTATCAACGTAAAATAACTGACTTAAAAATGTGTTGTCGTATAATTTTATTGGTTATGTAAAGATGGTACTTGATGAAGTTCTTTTGTTTCTTCATCCTTTGTTTTCCTCTTAGGTTTTAATCTTTATTTCTCATTAGTTATTTCATACCAATTGTATCTGGACCCAATTCCATCATTATTATTCAAGATGGCATTCAATATTGGTGGTATTTTAGGAAACATTATTAGCTATCATATACTTCATAAATATGGATATGAGAAGATTATATATTTGATGTATATTGTTTCTGTTATCGGATGGTACTTTATATGGATTTGTGAATCATGGCAATATTACGAAGTATTACTTCTAATTATTGGACGATTTGTTATGGGTGTATCTGTTGGAATAGGATTTTGTATTTTACCTGTTGTACTATTACAATCTTTTTTTCCAGATTCATCTTGGAGATATTTAGCTTTTAGTCTACCATGTTTTATGATAACCGTTTGTGGTGGAATTTCTTATTTTTTTGCTATGTGTTTCAGTTGGCAATTAGTTGCTGAGCTTTGTTTATTGTCTTCTCTGTTTGAACTATTAGTAACTGTTAATTTTTCAGGGTGTTTAGATTCAGTACATGTTACAGATAGTTTACTTTTTCAGCTGAATAAACAAGTGAGTAATTTATTTACCGTATAATTAGTTCATAAATATAATCATTATTCCTTCATGGTGAACTATGTATGTAATTCTTTATATATATAATTTCTACCACTTGTAACATAGAAGAGATGTCTGTCTTTCAGCTAAAAGATGAATGTACTACTCAGAAGTACATTCAATTCTACTTTATGGCTGTGTAAAACGGCCTTTAAAAAATAGAAGATATTCATAGGCTACTAGTATTTGATTATGGATACCATCGGAGCGTTGCCCCTGTTTGTCTTAATCATTGAGTGCGGAATGTCGAAGTTGGACGCAATATATCAAGTACAGATGGCATATCATTTGATGATATAATGAACCTTCATCGGTTGGCGTAGTAGGGACGTATTACATTTGTCTAACAAACGCTTACATCGACGCCTGATGTTGGCTGCTGTAAACGTATATTCGAAAAAGCTTGGAGCGGTCAGATTAAGACGTGGAGTCAGTTCATGAATTCATCGACTGTTGGATTGGCCCTAGTAAAGGTAAATACAGACTAATTGATTCAGGTTCTTGTGATCAGTGTAATCGATTGTTGAGGATACAGTTCATAATCAGTCGCAGTGGTGTAGATGCATTCACTCTTACTCTTTCCTTAGATTTTAAGCTTTAAAATCATCTTATATGTTTTAATTCCATCTCCAACCACCATCTTATCTCAACATAGTGCACGCAGTGTTGAGCCACCTAGACTAATAGCCATATTGCAACTTGATCGATAGCATTCGACTTGACACGCATGACATTGATCACCACTCAGTGATCAATCAATTGTAGTTACATCTCAGTCCTACAGAAGGTCGGTCGCGGCCCGAGTAGCTCAGTGATAACGTCTCTGGCTGTGGAGCTGAGTGATACAGGATCGAATCTGTCAGGAAGCACCAGTTCCCTCAAGATGATAGGTACACCTTGCTGACGAGTGCCAAGTAGCACGAAACCCGAGTCCAGGGTTTCGTGTTGATCACCTCCAACCACCACTTTATTCTACGAGTCCATTCCTTTCTCTAAAATCATATTGTCAATGCGTTGTGTCTTACCCTACCACTATTACTGTTAATACTCCTAATGTTTTGGTATTTGTTTTTATGATTTCTTCTTGCTGTAGTGTGACAACTTGAACTCATGTACATCCAACTGACTATGTATATATAATTATTTCAGTTGGAAAAGATGTCAAGAAACTGAAGCTTAGTTCAAAGTTTAAATATACAACCAACTTTAGAAGTGAAATACAGCCAATTGCCTATTTTATTACCACTCATCGTTTCACTAAAGTGACATATTATCATTTCTTTTTATAGGTGATTATAAACGATTCACTAAAGAAATCTAATACATTAATATATCAAAAAATATCATTGCTCCTACATTTTTTCCAAGCATATATCTCACCAGACTTTTTATTAAACAATGCTCAGTTTATTTGTTCAAATGTATCCAACAATACTCTGTTATGTCATTTAAATATCATCCTACTTTTGGTTATATTCATGGGAATCGCTATGGGATTTATACACCTTATATATGGTGTCTGGAATTTATTTATAAATGCTGTTTTGGTTGCCATGGTATATATGCTAGTGTATACTTGGAATATTGTAAGTGTAGCGATTTATTACAGTTTGGTATAAAAAAATACTTTAATGATATTGTTAACTGGGGGTTGTTTGTGGAGATTTATATATATATAGCTGAAATCATGAGTCAATTGAAGCTAGACCACCATGGAAAACCTGGACGGCCGTTTCGTCCTATTGTGGGACTGGTAGGTCGTGGGTTCGAATCTCGCGAGGCGGGATCGTGGATACGCACTGCTGAGGAGTCCTACAACAGGACGAAACGGCCGTCCAGGTTTTTCATGGTGGTCTAGCTTCAATTGACTCACGATTTCAACTAGATATTGTTAATTCTCAAAATAATGTTTCATGCGTTGCATTCAACTTAAACCTGAAAAGGCATATACTAATTTTTGAATCAAATTGTATCGACACTTACGTTTTTTTAGCAAACAGGAATGGCAACAAAGAAGTCCCTAGAGTATTAACTGGTTGAGAATGTGTGTGGATATATTTCTTCCATCGATTGTAGTATTATTAAATGATATGCTTATAATCAAACATGTGTAGAGAAATAACTTGAAGACTTAGTTCGAATTTATTTTCGATGGGCATCTATTATCTATTTCAGTTATTTTTGGGGAAAATTATATCGAACCCTAGCCTCACAAAATTTATACCATTATACTTTGTGATTGTATTATCGTTTCGCACTTATGTCGTCTCTTATCTATAAGCTAAACCCCATGTTTCATTCACTCTAGAAAAATTGAAGCTCTTTAGTTTTTGATATAAAGGTTTGTATTTCCCCGTTCTTAGTATTCAGGATTGCTTTTGATTACTGATGGGAATTACGATCCTTTGCAAATAATACCACATTTGCTGAACACATTAGTGGCTATCTGAACTAAGTAATTTATCGGATAAGGCATTAGCGTTTTAATCGACAGATACATCATTAGAATTTTAGTGTAAATATCAACGCCACACCGGGATACAGTTACATAAAACTGACAAATACCATGTAGTACGAGATACGCGTTCTAGAATCCAATGGTGGCTACAATCCGAAAATATGCAACTTTTCACAGTCAGGTTACATTTCGATCTATTCTAGTTCATAAATTAATCTTGAAGTTAAAATTAAGAAATGTATTCACGTTGTGGAAACTTTCAGATCAAAACTACATTAAGGTTTCGTAGTCAATCAACCCCACTAGTTGGTTACTTTATTCAAATAAAAAATCTCCATTGCTGAGAGCTTCGTTAAATCATGGTCACTTATTGAGATTTAATTGAGTTGATATACGGCATTTATTCTTTTTCGTTGGAGAATTATCTATGATGCAAGAAATATACACTAATTCGTTTTAAATCGAAATATTCTTATATAGTACTCAAACTATCCTAATATCAATTTATCATAACTTTCCAATTGTAGTCACTTTTTGATCAAGTACTCATTTGGCCATCGACAACACTGAATATTCTAATGATTATTTTATGTGCAGCCTGTTCATTCGGTTGGGGACAGTTACCTTACATCATGTTGATGAACAACGGTATTGTGGAACAAGCACTGTACCAATATTTTCTCTATAAATGTTTCTTATCATGGTGGATATCTAATTTAATTCAAACGATAGTATGGCATATCTTTATCCAATTATGGTACTTTCATTATATTTCATTTTGTTTATCTGTGATATGTTTGATTGCTTCAACGCTACCAGTAGTTGACTATTTAGTCAAATAAAATTTCTTCTTTCTTGCTTTCTAATTCCTATAACTTTAACAAAGACGTTCTTGTGACAGCGTACACATAATATGCATAATACCTTGTGATATAATAGACATTCTTATCTAATTATTTATGCTTCACTCAAGTATACCAGTTAGGTTTTCAGTTATTCAAGATGCCTTATTTAAGTTGTTTTATGATAAATGCGTGAAAAACCATCTTAATAGATCCGATGTACTGTTATATAAGTTCATTCTCACTATATCTTTGGATTTATATGCTTGATCAGTGTGGTTTGAATATGGCGAAAACTCAAGCGACGATGTACTGTTTCATAGAATTTAAGATTGTAGTTTCATTATTTAAGCTCAAATAACGAAATCCAATCTCAACTTTGGTCTGATTCTTCGATTGACGTCGTTTATAGAAGTCCATATCACTACAAAATAGTCAAATAGTTTATTTTGAATACGGGTGATTAAGGTAATCCAGCAAACATATAATGACAGTGGACTATCATCTTCTGACAAAGTGATTTACTTTTGTAATTACATTGTTTTAAGAATACTTACACCTTTCTATAAATAGTCATCTCATCTTAACGATGTGCACAAAGTCGTAGCAAAATTAGATTTTCTCAATAGTTGTCTAAATATCTCGAAGCCAAAAACTTGTAACACGAGGAATTCGAACGTATTATTTATTTAGGACGCAATCATTGTGATGATGATTTATTTGTAATGTTTAACAGTGAATTTAGTTAGTTTCATGTAAGTGGCCAAGTTTGGTCAATTCCTGTCTGAAAATAAAAAGAACAATTTTAATCGCCTTGAAATTAAGAAACTTGAATCATGTATGTCATAACTTAATGTACACAATCCATGTGGAATCCATAAACGTTATGGACTAGGAGAGTGCACATTTCTATTGCTTAAACAAGAAATAGTCCATTTTTCTTATATGTGATTTATAAAAACGTAAGTAGGTGAAAAATTTGTTGAGTGCGTGGCCTTACTTAAGTCTTAATCATCAATGACAATGATCAATTCAAAGGAAAGTTAGGAGTTCAATCTATGTTTGAATTGCCAGTTAATACATTGGTTTCGTAATTGACAGTTTGATGAAGATAGTGCTCGGACTGAAATCTCCATCGGGACGGCAGCTAACAGAATTCAATCTGTACTAGTAATAGTAAAGATTGCAAAAGATGATGCAATTGCTAACTATACTTCACCAGGTCATCCAGTGTTTTTAGAAAGTTTGAGCAAATAGAATCAGCAAAGAGGTATTCAAGTATTTTTGACGGCATGACGTATTATCACACTTCATTTCTACCCTATTACAATCAGTTCAACGAACAAACTCGAGGTTTAATCGCTATTTTTTCTGTACTACGGAATGAAATATTCAGAAGTTCCCAGATGTATTTCCGAATTTTAATCATTGTACATACATTTTCCTCCAACCGAAGCCATATCTAAGAGAGACATTCGCATAACATTTGACCTTATATACCAACAGTCAGTAAAGTTGCCATCATATGTGCAACAAAATTCAATGAACAGTCTAAAAACAAATCACTAGAAAAGTAGATACACTAATAAGCGAAAAGTAATAAAATTTAGGTCCACAGGAATCTTCAGATGAATAATAACCTTCGAAATAATGAAACAAAGAAAAATTAGTTACATCAACACTCACCTTAAATACTGAGTAAACTGGTCATCTATCTCAACTTCACAATCCCATTTATCATCCCACACTTGCAGATCTGAAATCTCTTCCTCTGATGTTAACCAATCTAATTTTAACAAAATACAAATAGGTCATATAAAGCACTTTTAATCCAATGGACACAATATTAGTTACATCCTGTTTCATTGTAAATAACTCTATATGCTTATTTTAGGAAGCAATCTTCTTTGATTGTGCAAGAAATTAGTCAATGCTGTAGACATCTCACTATTTGAGGTTTGTATTTTACTTCACATAATTTCGTAATTATAGTACTATCTTTATAAATAAATTTGTGCATAAGATTGCCGGATTTGACGCATTACTCGGTCATGTGGTTGAAGCCTCGATAAAGAATTAACATAACTATACTAGCGGTTAAATAAACAATCGAATATAAGCCTTTCATCATCTGCTCAATGTTTTCGCAATTTAAATTGCTTTTTATTTCTATAAATACTAACGATTTATTCAACTTACATCTTATTCCTACTGTACAACACGACAATAGGTAGGAGGTATGCATATTTATTGCAAGTTACAAGTATTTACATAATACATATACATAGCATTCAGTCATCCATTTGCAGCTTTCGGTGTGTTCTGTCAACATTTTGCTTTCAGTAATTTGAAAGTCTTCACTTCATCTGATAATCGTTGCAACTTCGAAGTCACGTTCCGCCACACACTACTTACAAACATCCTTGTGAGTAGCATGCACTACATTACTGTTTTTCACTTATTCTGTTTCTTGACATAAATAACTAATTTTATGATCAAAAAATTGGTATTTTTATTAATTATATTATTTTTCTCATTATACTGTTATAAATATGTTTATCGTACTTCTTAATTTCATACATCTTTTTGATCTAACACAGTGATCCAACTATTTTATTTATTTAAACACATAAATATTGGTACAAGGAAGCACTGGATACATATGTGCCTAACAAATCTCATTTGATTTGTGTGAGGGCTGTGATACTGTTCAGGTGCCCAAACCGAAGCAGGCGATATTCTTAGGGGACCACACCCGGAGCCTTTGACCTAATGATCTGATCCACAATGCAGTGGAGCATCGTAAGGAGATGCAGTTCCATGGTAGCAGATGACCAACGATTGATCCACACGCCATTTCTTCCCTTAGGATACTGGAGCCCATGTGCACCATTGGTTTGGAATCAGGGTTTTCCAACTGCCCTAGGTGGACTTTCCGTATCCACCAACCCGGTTAAAGCGCCGGACATTCACTTTTCGTCCTCTCAATTTCGTAAACAACAGTAATGCCACTGTGAGAAGGCAGTTAGTAGGACCTCCGTGGCCTCCGCATGGCCATATGAGTGCATTTTGAGAGGGAGAGCGAACTTCTGCCCACTCTCGGCCGTACCAGGGCACTATACACTATGTGATAGTCATGTGAATATTTACAAACGTTAATAAGCTTGATTTATCCAATAAATGAATATTCTACATTTTCAAAACAAATGTATTTGTAATTAAATAAGCATTATCTAAAATGAAATAATCCGTGTACCAGTAAGCTGTAGCGACATATATTGAGGCAATCATTCTTCAATAAATCTATTTTTATGATTGTTAAGTTGTTCATACATAACATACTTCGAAATGCTTTTCTTTTTGAATTAGTATACATTATAAAGAAATAAGCCCCCAAATGCCCGAGAGTGGGCAGAAGTCCGTTCTCCCTCTCAAAATGCACTCATATGGCCATGCGGAGGCCACGGAGGTCCTACTAACTGCCTTCTCACAGTGACATTACTGTTGTTTACGAAATTGAGAGGACGAAAAGTGAATGTCCGGCGCTTTAACCAGGTTGGTGGATACGGAAATTCCACCTAGGGCAGTTGGAAAACCCTGATTCCAAACTAATGGTGCACATAGGGCTCCAGTATCCTAAAGGAAAAAATGGCGTGTGGATCAATCGTTGGTCATCTGCTACCATGGAACTGCATCTCCTTACGATGCTCCACTGCCTTGTGGATCAAATCTTTAAGTCAAAGGCTCCGGGTGTGGCCCTCTAAGAAAACCACCTGCTTCAGTTTGGGCACCTGGGCAGTATCACAGCCCTCACACAAATCAAATGAGATTTGTGCGGCGCAAATATATCTGGTGTCCCTTTGTACCAATACTTGTGTTTAAATAAATAAAATAAAGAAATAAAAAAGAGATTAAGCTCGTTAAATTTACTTACAAAAAACTCTGGAAAAAATGTGTTAATAAGCATAATCAAGAAGTACAACATACTTTCTTTTTCAAATTCCTCAAATTCTTTGTCATCTTTTAAAATACCCAAAGCTTCTTCAACTTGTTCAGGATCCTGTTCACTCGACTAAATCAAAACAGTATTTGTGAAAAAAAGTAACAAATATGATATGAAATCAGAGGGGAGAGATCTCTCAAAATATGTTGAAGTATTTATACAATACAACTCCTTATGAGTACGTTTAGGAATATCTCAATATATGCTACATAATTGACAATCCTATTCATTTAATAATAAGCTAGTTATAGTAAAATGGTCTATAATATGGTCAATCAATTGACCAGTTTTAATATTCTTGCTCTTAAAACACTACAACAAGATATTTAACTGGATGAAACATGAGTTCTTAAAACATACGACCGATAACGGTTAAAAAAATGGCGTTTGTTCTAACTCACTAAATTAATGAATATCACTTTGTTGTTTAAAAAGATTGGCACTATTTCTAAAGTTCAGTTGAGACAACACCCGCTAAGGATGTTAACGTACCCAGTTGACAAATTCCAAACAGGACGAAAAGTATATTTTGACTATTCAGCAGTTGATCACTATGAAACAAAACCTACAGAGCAGTCAGCTGGTATGAAAGAAAAGAAATAATGGTATAAGTATAATATACTGCAAGGCCTTGAGTTCACCAAACTAGATTAAGATGACATCTCAATTATTTTGCGCAAAGTTTAAAGTGCGGTGATAAATAACGTGTATGTCATTACTAACCAAGCGAAAATTGACAATACTTGGTTTTTGAAATGTTTAAGTCAGTAAAAATATCCATTACCCAAAGATAAATCGAATTTTAGGTGGTGTTTAAGCTCAATTATATGACATACCTACTCCTGAGGAAGATTGTGTGTCAAAATAATTAACGTCATTCATTGAGCAATCAAGAGTGTTTGGTGAAGCTGGGTAATAATTTCCTTTATTTACTCTCAGTCTAAATCCCAACACTAAGTTTCTCAAGTGTATAAGCAAAAGGTTGACAAAGCATTGGATCATAGCAGATACAATTTTATGATGAAAACCTTAATTTGTAAACCCATCTCAGAACTCCAGCTTAACTCTTAATACCTTATCCTGATCTTTTTGGATTATCGCCAGTGTCAATTGGTGATAAAAACTCTATGGGGTGTGGCCTTGAATTATAACACTAGCCCGATTCCTAGTATGTAAAACTTAACCTTTTTCATTTACTACAAAGAATAATTCGACATACGAGGGTTGATTATTGAAATCAAAGCTATTACTCCACTGTTATAGTGTTTCTTTTTGCTGCTATCTGTTTTGTATCTAGGCAGCGTTTCCTGATTGCCTCATAAATCCCTCAAGGTTGTTAGTATATTATACGTTTACCGAAATTAATACTTAGTATATCCATAAAACAAGAGGTCACAACTAAACAGTATGACGAATAAAGATGAAAAAATTCGGAAGATCTGTTACGTGTGGTCTAGGATCAAGCAATACCACACAAAATAAGTACGTTGTTAATATTCACTAGTAAACTGAAGAGGAAAAAACTTCAAAGGAACCAAGAATTCGAAGACCAATGACAGAATAAATTAATACGATAAACAGCTTAATACAAACTACTTTTAAAATAACGGACAGTATTTACATTTAAATTCACCAGTTTCTTTACCTCTGTAGTCATTTTTAGTTATTAGTGCATAACGTGACTAGGTTAAACGCCTAATATTAAAGTGAACTAATACATATATTTAGAACGCCTACTAATCATCATATGGTTATTTTCATGATCAGAATTAATTCAGTCAGTACGGAAATTGTAAAAACGTAGCAGCATTTAACATATCCTTACAACTCAAAGTGATTGGAATATAGGGAAGATATACTGAATATCGATGGGGAAATATAAGTGTTTACCCAATTAATGAAAACACTTTTTGGCAGTTTCGCATGCAATTATAAATTGTAGTAACACTTTGAAACCTAATCTGGCTAACTAACCTATTGTGTTTATCAGATTAATTTTAAAATACAATATAATCACTGGCCTCATCACATTTATTCAATCAGTCATAATCAACGCAGAGACAGGCACAAATGTCGTTAGCCCAAGATTCTATATCACATCAGTACGAGAAGAAGAAGAACAAGAGTCAAAATAATAATAGTATCATTGGAAATGAGAAAGACTAAATATTATTTGTAAAGGAATGAAGAAACTCAAAGTCTAAGGGAAGACAAAGAGTAGATGGATATTTAACACTGTGATAACCAATTTTCAGTTATAACAACCAACATCTTTAACCACTGATCGTGAGGGATCCAACCAATTAATCTGCGTCCATTAACACGAATCACATCTATTATATCATATACGAGTGGTCTTATTCAATTAAGATCTACATACAGAAGTCAAAATTAGAAAACATCACTACACTATAATTATTGGATATTATTATATTGTGTGATTCTTACGTCACTCGAGACAATCAACCAAACAACAAAAACATGATGTATCTACCTATTTCATAAGCTTATTAGACCATTGTATAGAACAATCGTGTATACAACCAACAAAACAACGCTGAATATAAATAAAGAGAAATGACAGAGAAAATATACAGCTCAGGAGGTTGTTTTTGGTGGATTTGTGTTCATTATCATGGCCTACTTCATGCAAGCACTGATGATGTTGTCCAAGAAAACATTCAACGCTCCCTAACTAAAATAACCTGGCCTAAAGAATACGATACCAGCAAAAACAAAATCATTCCCCAGAAATCATAAAATGTTGAGAAGCAGTTGTTTGTCTACCTTTAAGATTCTAGACAAACCTTTAGGTATTAATACCAAAATTTCAAACGAATTAAGTAGAATGTTAACAGTAAAATGATGATATAATTGTGATATCCCAATGAGTAATTTCACTATAGAATTTGGATATTACAAATATGACATCATTTTCATATTAAGCATTGAACTAGTTGTTTCTGTTAACAGATCTATATTTCTCAGTCAGTCAGCTACAACGTAGGACCAGGCACATATATGCATCGGTCCAAGTTGCCATACCTCTATATTTCTAATTTTCAACAAACTATATCCCATCTTGTTAATTTGATTTTCTAGTTGACAAGTATAAAATGAAATAAATAACAATACAAAGTATATGCCTGAATTAAGAAAATGTCACAAGATATGTATGATATCGAAGTTGTATTGTAGCGTGGTCTACTTATATTCATATAAGTAGTATATGGCGATGGTCAGACATTAAATGTATTTTGACAGAAGACCGATAAGGAAAGAGCTGAAATGAAGTTCAATTGGTGGGAAAATGCATGAACAATGGAGTTAGAGAAGATGAACTGATATTTACATAAGGAACAGTGAAGATTGAGACAATTGATTGTTATTTTGCAAATTAACTGGTTACTGTATGGTTATCAGAATTTAGTGAGATAGTCTGTAATTTGTGTTTATACACATTGGATTGTCCCATCAGTGTTCTTGTTCACTACAGTATTAGATTGAATGATAGAATTATTTGATGAAGGGTTATTTACGTGTAACTATGGAACAATTAGATCAACTATATAACCAAGTACCATATATATATATAGATTAAAATGTGAATAATAATAATAATAATCGAGTAAAGAAAAAGACAAACTGTAATAAGATGAATATATTTGAAAGATGAATTTTTCATTTGTATTTGAAAATATTTTACAAAAATAATATATGTACATTAATTAATAATTGTACAACAGATAAAACTATAAACCAAGTCTACTGCCAGGACGTTTAGATACTAAAGGAGTACCAGGAGTTCGCATACCAGGTGTAACTATTGGTCGCCTGTAAGAAAATGTAGGAAAATATTTTAAGTCATTTCTTTTAGAAAAAGCACTTGAAACTTATATACGATAGGGGCAATAAAAGGTTTATGATACAAGGTAAAATAACACTTTGAAGACTTGGAGGACAAAGGGAGGGAGAGGATAAGCAAAAATTACGTTAACAAGAGATGTTTGCTGATGTAGAACTAAGTTGAAAAAAAAATTACAAAGCAGCCAAAAAAATTGTAGCATCACTTCATGAAGTTGTCAACTGTTGAACTGAGCCGTGTAATTGGATAAAGATTACCTTGTAAGAGTTCGCTCAATTATCGTAACTAATGAATGAGAACGTCGAGTGACAGCTTACAATCAGTCGCAATAGGGAAGATGTATTTTGTGCTTATGTACCGTTAAATTTGAAGATTTTTAAAATTATCTTACGCTTTTTATTACACCAATACTCATCAATGGGTATATACAGACACGACTTCTCAGCGTTTAATAATACACAGTGGTGACATTGAAATTTTAGACGGTAGTTAATCAGCACCAAAGGACTAGACAAAGATAATATTGGTCACCGTTTAGTGATCGATCAATTGCAAATATCTCAGTCCTACAAGAGGTCAGTCGAGGGTCGATTACATTAGTGGTAACATCTCAGATTGTAAAGCTGAGTGACGCGGTTCCGAACGTCACATGGAGCATTGATTCCCACAAGATTACGAGTACGAATTACTGAAGACGAATCTCAACTAATACAAGACCTAAATCCAAGGTATCCTGCCAACTGTCCCCATCCACTTAGCCTCTTAAAAAATAGTAGACCTAAAGTCGAGTCACTCAAACTAGTAGCCATATTGTAAGTTGACCAATAAAATCCGACTAGATAACATTGGTTACTACTCAGTAGACGATTAAATGCAGAGTAGCTATTTAGGATTAATATTGAAACAAGATTACCCTAAACAAGAGTAAACAGATGGTTTACTTACAAACGGCTTGAACCAATAGATGCTGAAAGTTCCTCACGTCGACGAGAAAGTTGTTCTTCAGCCAGACGCATTTCATTTTCCATTTCTACGAGCTGTTCTTCAGCTTGTCGCTTTCTTTCCAATCGAGTAAGGTTAGGATCTTTAACACTGAAGAAGTGAAGAAAGTTTATTGAGTGAATGAGTCACACACAGCATAACACTAGCAATAAATCTTACTAAAAGATTTTACAGGTGAATAAAACTAACTGAATAATAGTTGAACTGAAATTGTGTAGGAATGGGTATGAATAAACATTATACCAACTATAATATGAAACTACGCTAATTATACAAGGTATTATTTTCATTGTAACCACAAAGTAAAGCTCCAACAAAAAATGGAAAACTATGGGTAGGAAACGACAAAAAAGTTCACCTGTGTTATGTAGGGAATAATGTTCGTTACATTAAAACTTTCATACGACTACCTAACCATAAAATGAGATCGAAAAAAGAACAGATTTTGTAAATGATATTAAAGGATACATCGGTAGCCGGATGTCGTGTCTACTACTCTTGGTAGAATCAGTGATGTGAGTTAATTTGACTTTTACTTATCCCACGCTGGTAGGTACTCCCGAATGCAAAGTGCTTCGAGGAAAGACCAACATACCAGCTGGATTAGAACAAGGGAACTGGTATATGCACATTGAATTTGTCAGTCTTAGCAGCCTATATTATACATAGAGGAGCGTATAAAAGGGGAGCTGTATTATTTTATACTATTAGTTCACCTGCGCCTATTTGGCTATGTAGGTCATCGATGGAGACCACTTATCAGTTTTGCAACGAAGAAAAGTTTTATTACAATATGTTATATGTAGCATAATAACTGTATTCATATCATCTTGACACTCCTATCTCTTTTCTTCTACTGGTAAGCATCAAGTCCCTTTACAATGCACGCAATGAAATATGAATTTATAGCATACATTAGGGGTTTACTTTAGTTAGATAACTCTTGAAGACCAGGAAGCCCTAGAAAGCTATTTCGATTCCAGATGAGGTAGTAAGTCGTAGTAACCCCAATCAACTGAGTTATTTTTGACTGCTCACTGCTATTTAGACATTTAATCCACCAAGTAAAATTACGATAATTTATCCACAATCGATTGATACTCATAACTATATACGGATTTTTAACACTCACCCGTTTCCCTGTGTGTTTGCTTTCTGCACGCTTGCGGATTTTACAAATCTTTAACAATAAACTACCTTTATAACTGGTGTTCAGGCTTTTGAATAGTGTCTGGTAAATCCATAATTGTACTAGGAGATTAAGTCTGCGTTAAATACTCAGTTAACGCGATACTATTTATTGGAGTCAGATACAGAGGAAATTAACTTCTACGAGTATATCCTGCTGAAGGAACCTTTACCAAAACAGAATAAATGTTCAGAAAGTCCTGGTTTTCAAAGGCTATCTGATTACGGTCAATCCATGTTGAAAACTATGAAGCTCAACAATCTCCACAAACTTCTCATGCTACAAATACAATTTTAACCACATAGTGATCGAAAAACAAAAAAACATTAAGAAATGTCAATTTAATTTACCTGTAAAACATAGGACCAACTTTAGCTAACCAATTACCATCGACAGATGTAACACATTGCATATATTCTTTTGTTGTCATAATTAATTCATGATAAATAACATAGTCCGGAGTGTAACCCATTCCATAGAGAGCACTAGTTGGATGTAGATGACAAGGCATACCAGTTCGTAAATTCACATATTCACCTAAACCCTGGAAAATTGTTTTTGTTTACGAAAAAATATTGTGTTTCATGAAAAGTACTAAGGACATTTATTAATAATCATGTGAGTAGGAAATTCACTAGAATATATATCATGAATAATCACTATGATATAATTGCTTAATTGGCAAGAGTTGTGCTGATCAAAAATTTATATTACTATTTGGAGTAGCATTAGACATCAAGGAGCACTGGTCAGCTAATTCATTCTGTTATGAGACTATTCACCAGTAGGCGCCCACGACCATACTGGAGATCAAGACGATAAACTCCACGTTTTACGACTAACGCTTAATTATTAGAACCACTAACTCGATGCCCAATCAATTTGCCACACAATGACATTTCATTGATGACAACTATTTTAATCTCTGTATGTTTGGACTTCATCAGTCATGACATAAATTACTTAACCAACAAAATGCTAAGAGAAATTAGTCCTACATTATTTATTATCTTTTAGTGACCAAAGCCTTAGCATCATTTTCGATCAAAATTCTTCCTCAACATAATGAGAAAATTCCAACGCAACCGCTCGTTAAATCTTTTCCCGACAAACTTTCTTTCCTGGTTACTAAAACTCGACAGTTATGATCCCTATTCTCGTGTTATCTAAATCAATACATACTCTTGGCAATTTTATCACAAACTATTACATATGTATATGAATTAGAGATACTATAACTCAAAATCTACATGTAGAAAAGAGTAATCTAAAGATGTAGTGCATTGATCACTTTCATTTGAAATTAATTGACAAAATATCTAGCTTATTTTGAACTACACTAAATAAAATGATGATATGAAGTTAGTTGTTCTCATGAATGGATAGCAGTTGGAAAACAAGAAAGTAGTCGACGACAAATGTTTCGTACCAATTTTGACTAGCTTCGTAACAGGACATTATTACCGATTCTAAACAGGACAGAACTTGTGAACTTCTGATCTCATGATAAACAGAATACAGTAATCCATGTGGTCAGTTCCAGGGGGTTTATGAAATAGTGAGAAAAAACGTTCACTGACTAATTCTCTGTTCAACCATGAGAATATGCTAAGTAAATAGTATTATAAATTAGGATGCAACATGTATGTTCTATGATCCTTAGTTTTTAATGGTTCATCAGGTAATCTTCAAAAACCTTGTCTGAAACGCTGTGATTGATTACTTAAGTGTTACATGAGCCCCTAATCCACACAATCATGTCCAGTTCATTAATTTATACAGAGCAATATAACTATTTAAAATTGTTCAAATAGGTTTAGATGGGATTCGACTAAAGGACTTATTCACCGGTAGAAATATGTGAAAAAAAGAAACATCAAAGTCAATTTCCCACTTCTTTAAAATCAAATCAAGTAATCGTTTCACAACAAAATAAAACAGACGTAATTCAGACTTTACCTTGATACGAGCAGCTTGATGGAAGAAAGTAGCGCATAAACATTCACGTACAACATCCCAATCACTGCCGATAGATTGTAAATTCATGTTGTGTTGTTCCATGATTTCTTTCATTTGTTGTCGAACTTCACGAATTTTACGCATGGCTTTTAAGTGTAAAAAGTGTTTTGCACAAAATGCTGATGAATAACCTGATTTACGCCATTGAGTGAAAACGTTCAACAGTGTTAAATGATCAGATTCTGGAACTTGAAACTTCTCTCTTGCATTATCTGATTCTTCTTCACGACCTTTTGGTCTGTAGAATACACTCGGAACAGAGAGCATCGATACAATGGTTAGAATCTCTTCAGAACAATTCATATCACAGGAAATAATCAATAATTTAGACAAAGCTGGATCCAATGGAAATTCAACCATTTGACGACCTAAATTTGTTAAACTGCCAGTATTATCAAGAGCACCGAAAATCCATAGTTGATACATTGAATTCAATATGTTATCCTACAAGTATTAAGAACAATGCAACCTAATCCCAGTTAAGATATACAAAAAAAGGATAATAAATTGTAACAACGTCAACACATGGAAACAGATTTTTTTGTTCGATTAATTCTTTTTAATAGTTTTAACATGAAATCAATATTCCTAAAACAAAACTACTTAGAATATTGAAGAACAGTCAAATATGGTAACTTATGAGTACTACAGTTATAAATTACAAACTAATGATCTGGAATAATGGCCAACTTTACAGCAAGTATATCTTTTATAAAATAGTATCATATGAATAATGTAGAATTGTTAGTAGACTAAGACAACTATTGTTGGAATGACTAGGATACTTTGAGCCATACGTAATTTATCCCACGATTAGGGTTAACACATTTAACTGGCTGAAACTATGTAACAAGAAGAAAAATTCGAACCTACAGTATGAGAGTAGCTTGAGAACTGAGTGAACAAGCTGAATATTTAAGTTAATCATAAAGACTAGACGACAAGTGCGATGAGTGGGTGTACTCTGTTTAGAGCGAACTCCAAAACAGCTCTTAGTAGTGCAATATAAACACTAAGAATATTTTCTACATATTTTTCTGAATACTTTCAATAAAATCTCAAAATTATGAGGAATTTTCGATTTATAAATTTTTAGTAAACCGGATATACCTGTGGAGGAGCATCCATGAAATGAAATCGCATTAAATCTTGAACACCCAAAGATTTTAATAAGAGAACAACATTAGCCAGATTAGTTCTCTGAATTTCTGGAACAGATGTGATTAGCATTTCATCTTGATACTGACTTATAGTGTATAAACGGTAACATACTCTAAAAACAAAAAGTATAATTGGAAGGAATAAACATTAGAATTTGTAATATCATTAAAAATTTAATAATAAATCGGTGAGTAAATGTAGTTTAAGAAAACACTAGCTTGAACATGCAAGATTGATTACTGAAATTTCATTTACAAAATACATTAACAAGAAAACACCTAAGAGATAAGTCACTTTCTTAGAACTGTGATTGTCATCAGTTATGAGAATGAGAGTGTTATGTTCTATAACCCGTCAAATATCATGTGACAAAATTGCCAGTCAGAATATCGACTTCTGTTAGCTTGTCTGTGGACTTAATCAATAATCCATCAAACAGCACTAGCAGCATTGAGTCAACTCCGAGTCCTTATTGATCTTCTATGTAGAAACCTCTCTCCTAGCCTTGCCCGTTCAGTCCACAATACAAATATCAGCCTCCATTATACGAATCATATATTTCAGACATAGGTGATTTATTTAAGAATGGCGAATAGTATAACAGTAGCCAATAGGTCAAATGAAAGCTTATGATAGAAAAAATATAAATATACATATAATCTAGTTACTGAATAATTATCCAATAAGAATATATGTAATAATAGTCCGTAGATAATTCCTAGCAGTTGCCATTCACCTATTCTTCATTCGTGTATAACGGAGACCAAAAGTAAAGTCAACGAATAGATAAAAACTGGTGTATTATGAATTGTCATATTAGAACGTTATACCTATAAAACGAACTAATATTCATCATAGTTAAAACATAACGAAATAGTTTGGTAGAAATGTCAAGTGAAGTGTAGCCTGAGCTGTTGGATTATGAAAGACACAAATATAGTTCAGTTTATGGCTTGAAGTGAAATGACGGAAGGTGTTGTTGACGTTATATTTCGAAAAAGTTGCCGATAACAACAATCATTAATTGAAATAACTATAATAAATAATGAAAGAGACTACATCGCATAGTAGATTTGTTGAAAATAAAAATTTCTGAAAAATAAGATTGATACTTAACATACAAATGTGGTTGTTGGGTAACATTTCAACAGTCATTAATAGTTAGCTTCGATAGATTGCAAATTACAGCATAAAATTATCAGTGAGGATGGAGAGTGTTTATTAAACGCAATGTTATAATGAAGAAAATTTATAGCCTAGGTGGATAGCTTCAGTTGCGTTGTGTTCTCTGAGCTAGGTGATTTATGCTGATCAAAAGACAACAGTAAGAAATTACAAATGTAATATCATCTACAAAATAAATTGTGCCAACTGAAACAAACATTACAGTGAACGTCCCACGCACATACGCACATACGGAAAAAACTGACAGTAAAACAACGCGACATATTATCACTCATATCACTGGACGCAGAAAACTACAGACACAAAGTCAACTGAGAAAACATCTAAATCCCAGATCGATGAAACTTGAAGAGTTCAAGAGAATTTTGGAAGGAAAAGAGGTAGATCAATGAAAATATAGAGATTCATTACATTTACTAAACTATATAGAAATAGTCGACAGCCAATTATGTAACCAAGAGTCAACATAGCAAAGAGCTCAACAGGAATAAAAAGGTAAATAAAGGTAACCAGACACCTCCGAAAACAACCATTCACAGACAAGGTCATCAGAACTGGGTGATTTAACACCTATGAATTATTAACCAAACATCTCACTGCTGTGTTAAGTAAGAGCTAAAGATATTGTCCAGAACAATAATGAAACCTTCCAAATATAATTTCACAGCTGGGAGAACAAAACACCGACTGAAAATATTGTGAATACTAAATAAAACGGTTATAGCATACCACATGTAAGGACAACAAAACAAATTACCTACCCTGGACCAGTTCTACCAGCACGACCAGCACGTTGATTAGCATTAGCTTGACTAATTGGAAATATTTGTAATGCATCCATACCGATTTTAGGGTTGAAAACTTTCAATTTACAATAACCACAATCAATTACATAACGTATCCCATCAACTGAAAATCAAATCATATACAAAATAGATTGGTTTAAATGATTATTGTTTCTCAATACGTTGAATAATATATGAAACAATAATAATGAAAAAGGAGAGATTTTTAGGAAAAATGTGCAAAATTTAGGGAAGAAGTAAAAGATAGCTCTGATGTAGATAGTTATGAATATCAGTGTAAGGTTATAGGGAATGTTGAATTTCATTGAAATTATGGACCGAACAACATTAGACTACCATCGAAAAACCTGGAAGCACTGAACAGCCGTTATGGCCTAGTATTGGACCCTGCACGCGGTAATCGAACCCAGGACGTTCGGTCACACGCGCAAACACTTAACCTCTAGACTACTGAGTCGGTTATGAATATATATATATATATATATATATATATATATTCCGCCATCTTCAGATATCAAAGTAAGAACTAATAACACTAGACAAAATAACTGGGAATGTGATTCCATAAATAAATTTCTTGTAACACAAAGATGTTTTTATTTGTACAAATTATTCTTTTGGTTTTTTACCCCGTACTTACACTTTAACTCATATCAAAAAATAGGAATGCAGACCCCTGTGTAATTCGATTAATTACGACTTAGAATGCTTTTAAAGAAATGAGAGTATAAGACAGAGGGAAAGCTGACAATAACTAAACTAAAGAGTATCACAAGTCTGTAAAGTCATTGACTATTGATCTGAACCATATCGATAAGTGCATGATACTACCTGATTAGGATCCATGAGATAATCGTGATGAATGGCTGAAGATGTTGTTTGATATGATACAAGAGCAGTCGCATTAACTCTTTATATTCTTTTAGATTAATAAGGTTTAGCATTATTCCACGCTTTTAGTTTCGCGATTATATTACTGACTTTTAAACTAGATCCAATATGCTCACTGAGTATTGTTTGTTTGAATCTTCCCATTGATTTTGATGTTGGTTTGTTCTCTGAGCTGGATGGTTCAGTCGTGAAGCTTTTATCGTCCTTCTGAACGACATCATCAGCACAAACTTCCCATTGATGTTTACAATGCTTGTGAATTAAGGCTATATCGAGGCAATACGCACAATATGCACATATACCAATTAAAAACTGACCAGTTGCAGTCCTAAATAACAATGGGAAGATTCAAACAAACAATACCAAATGAATTTAAACTTCACCCCATCGCACAAGCAAGTGGCTATCAGGACTAAGTAACTGAGTGGATAACGCGATGACGTTTAAAGCGAAAGGTACTGGGTTCGAGTCCCAGAGTGAACATCAACTCTGAGATGCAGGTACATCCACCTGAAGAGCCCCAAATAGGACTTGACGCGCGTCCTGTATTCCACTGCTAGCCACTATCCATCTTTGCTTATATTCAATATGTTTAGTTTTTTTTCTTACGACCACTAATATTAGTATTATTTAGAAGCGTTAGTTTTCTCTTGCTTTTTTGATGTGGTGTAGCAACTTGGATTAATGAGCACGTTGATCATAGGATAGATATGATTTTTCTTTCATACCATTCATCAAATCATTGGGAACAGTAAAAGAAAAATGTCATTACTTCCAAGTGTTCATTAGGTTCATGCATAAATGCAATTTTTTGATAATAAAACTGGTTTCCTTTTGTGTTTTCGTCGAAATGTCATTGATTCAAGACACATAAAATCTGGGACAACTAGGCACCGAGAATATTATGCATCACAGAAGGTAAAAAGATAACATTATGAAGAACTAAAGGACGGAAAAGGTGTGGAATCAATAAAATGATGAGTAAACGAGAATAATGTACAACACAGATGCACTTCAGATAAAAATATACTTGAGAAAAACTTCTTTCATTTAAATGAGTTCCGGTTATCTTTATGAAGAGTGCAAAAGAAAACTACAGCAAGATTATTAATGGTTTCTATTCTGAGACACGTCTAAAAGTGTCTCAAGCCACTGAATGAGCTATCCCCAAGCTAGAAAGTCGTGATGGGTCGACAGATGCTGGTCTTATACACCTTGTTTTATATCACAGCGCCGCGTCATAAACTGGCGACATTAAGTACGAATAACTTCTCGTACAACTATTCAAGATATGTAAATTCTAGGAAAATATAATAATAAGGAATTTTTCCAACATGATTTATCTTTCGGAATGGGATAGTATGGAGCTAATCAACTTAATATACTGGTCTACTGCAATGTTGGGGATCCTGACAGGTATACCCAGTTGGTTCAATTCAACTTAAAAAAGAAAGCATAAAATAACAACAACATACCAGTTAATGAGGTTTCAGCAATATTTGTTGCCACGACACATTTTCGGACACCATTTTCAGCCTTCATAAATATTTTTGCTTGAAGATCACTTGGCAACTGAGAATAGATAGGGAGGATGGATAGTGGAGGAGCTTCTTCCAAGTTACTCAAACGTTCTGAAAATTGCAACATGGTGAAATACAAATGGGATAAAAAGATTATTTAAATCATGCTTGCAGGAAATAATTAGTGTTTACTTGGTAAGGACTCTACAGCAACAACATTACTCATCATTAGACAAGAATCTTATCTTAATATGACACCCAACGGCAACTATCTACCAATTTTATCTACGACCTACTCGATTTTCGGCACTTCTTATCTCCATTTGATCTAAACAATTGCTAATTACTCTTTTCGGGTGACTGTTACCATGTTTATGCAACAATGTCTCATATATATCGAATATGTTGTTATCATATGTTTCGCAAAAGTTTGACAACGAATCGTAATAACCGACAAGTTCAAACAAACCGGTGTGACAAGTTTTATCGAGCCGGAAAATAAATATAATCATAATAGACAGACTCGCTTTACTTAATATCATATGTTTGATTACAGTAGAGAATTTTCAATATAACAACAAAACTACCATTTTATAAGCAGTTAACTTATGAATATCCCAAACAAAATTATGTATAAAAGTCTTCAAATAGTGATTAGCTGCCATTCATATTCATCTGTAGTTGTTAATGATCATTATTGTTTCTGTGACAGATTTTACTCATGAATTATATGGTAGTTATTTGTTTTTTTAATTGGAGGAAATATACTAACCATCGTGGTGGGACTTTTTATTTTTTTCTCAGTGATTAAATTCACCACAGGTTGTAAACATCCTATTAGGTCGCGTAAGCTTAAATGGTCAAGAGATCTGTGATATTAACCACATGTTTGGAAAAATGGTAACACTCAAATTTGAGCAGGCCTCGGAGTAGACATAAAATGAGAAAACATCATCATCTGAATTTGAGTTTAATAACAAGAAGGTATTTAATACTGTCGAATGATAGCAATAGGCTGTTATTATGATAATCATTACAGTGCACACGTGAAGATGCAAAGAAAAAAATACTAGTATTAAAGGTTTGTGAAGATTATTCAAGTTTGTAGTTTACATACTAGACTGACACCTTAGTTACATAACCAATGTAAACCAGGAAGTACTGGACACTTATTTCATCTAAGTATGGGAATTCTTAGCAGTTTGTATTCATGACGCTATCGAAGATCGAATATACAGCCCTCAGGTTTCGCAGCGAATACCACTGGGCCGACATACAATGTTCAACACTAAAAAATTAAGTTGATTTGTGATATTACGCAACCACTATTCAATACCACGGACAAAGTTATAAATGGTACACCATTACATGTAAACTCGAAGATCTAAAAGTTAACCGTTTTCCCCAGAACCGAATAGTCCTGGGTTCGATTGCTGGTGGAGTCCTAGACGCACACTGTTGAAGAGTCCTATACCAAAACTGGCTTTCAATATTTTTCTAAGCTCAGTCGATGACGCAAATGAGAAAAAACGTAATAAAAACTAACCAGCAATTAGTTCACATGTCACTTCAATATCCTCTTGACCAGGCATAAAAATGAGTATATCACCTAGATAAATAAAAAAGAAACGAATAATTGAGGCATTAAGTGTGTTTACAGCAATAAACGACTTAATAGTACAGAAATTATTTCTTCTGGACATTTCTAACATTAGCATAACTCGTGACATATTGTTGAAATATTACACAAGTTCTATTTACAAAAATTTAACTTTCAAATAAGTAGTGAACTAAGAACATCCAAAAGTTTACGATGTATTAACAATACACAAAATCTTTCCTCTCTGGTATTGACTTTAAGACTTGCATAATGAAATTATATAAATAAAAGAACAATATTCCGATTATCTAAATATAGACGAGTATGAAAGAAAGGGAGTGTGATGTCCATTATTTGTTTCATCTACCAATCGTTCGAAATATCAGAGATTTTTGAGATATCAGGTGTAATTTGGATCACTTACAAAAATGTCTACGTTTTAATTCTACGTAGCCTCCGTGAAGAAAATGTAAACATATAGTACTTACTTTTCCATCATTTATGTTAAATGAGTTAAAATTAAATACATGAATCTAACATAAATATGTTTCAGTTATAACCAACACAGAACTTAACACATATGTGGATCGGTTCAAGTTACCGCATTACCACAATCAAATGGAAACATCCCGAAAAATATCAGAGTATCAACAATATTAATAATGGTAGAAAAGATTAAATATGGTCAATATGATTCTAAGAAAATGAAATGGCGGAAGAGAATGAATGGAATAATTTTAAAACTAAACATCTAACAACAGATAAAGGATGAATGGATGTGTGCTATCGTAGATAGTTTTGTGAGCTATATCACCCAAAGTCTTCAACTGATGGTTCGGAAGACTGCACAGACGTCCAACAGTCAATGACTTTATGGATTCGTGTCATGTTTTGAAGTGGCCGCTCCCAGCTTCCTTTCAACTTACTTCTACATCATTGAACGTCGCCTGTCGAGCTAGGTGTAACATGTCCCACCCAATTCAGTTAATAATGATTCACTCTTTCATCATCCAATCTACTATCTTCACTTAATACCCTACATTCTACCTCAGCATTGAATTCGTTATTCAGTGAAAAACAAACTAATTATGATATCAAATGTCCATAACAAAAAGACATTTACCATCTGTTGGTGAGCCTAAATGAACTTGAATTGCTTGTTTCACAGATGCATCTACATAATCCATTACTGTTGTTTTACTAAATTCTTTATCAACAGGAAATGTTCGACCAGGTATTCGAAAAATAGGACAATCACCGAAAAACTGAGCAAATCTTTCTGCATCCATTGTAGCAGAAGTGATTAATAGACGTAAATCATTACGCCTACTAACAACCTGAAAATAATACAGACACATTAACTTAATGAGTTTTCATTAGGAAAAGATAGATTAACGACAATATTACGCAAAACAAAATACAGTGATGCCTTAGCGACCAAATCGTTCAACTTTTAGCTACCAAGTCCCAGGTTCGAACCCCCGCCCCATCTACTTTGGTTTAAGCAACCGGGTATTATTACTGGCTCTTACACTTAAAGGGTGGCTCGAAGACAAATGCACTAATATGTGCCCCGTAAATAAGCTAGTAAATGAGTCTATAACAATGAGGATGGTGATCTAAAATTCAATAAACCTCCTCATGAGAGATAGTGAAGACTGCAAACTATATCCGATTATTTCTCCAGAGTGAAAACTTTTGAAAAGTACGAAGATTTACGATTCTAATACTGTAATATGACGTCGGTGAATAACAGCTCAAATGAAAAAGTAGTAAGCAATTTATACAATGATTGTTCATTAGTTGGAAATCCGTGGGATCATTTCAATGTTTCTAATCAAATGTATTTTTTGCAGTTCATTAATGATAATCATTACAATGGAAATGACCTTATAATAACCGACCTTCTCTCTGGATAACAGCAAAACTAAGATGCTATCTAGAATGATAATGACTTCTTTGCCCCCAAATGCCCTGGTATGGCCGAGGGTAGGGAGAGTCAGCTCTCCATTTCCAAATGCTCTCACATAGCCACGCATATACAGCCACTTTTAGGGATGTCCTACTCGCTGCCTTCTCGCAGTGGGAGCGTTGTTCATGAAATTGAAAGGACGAAAAGTGGATATCCAGAGCTTTAAGCGGGTTGGTGGATACGGAAGGTCCACCTAGGATAGTTGGAAAACCCTGATTCCCAACCAATGATGCATATGGGCTCCAGGATCCTGAAGGAACAAACGGAGTTAAACCAACTGTTGGTTACCGGCTACCATGGGACTGCATTTCCTTACGTTGCTCCATTGCCTTGTGGATCAGACATTTAGGTCGAAGGCTCCGGGTGTGGCCTCCTAAGAAAACACGGCGGCTCAGTGGATTAGAGGTTTAACGTTCACGTGCGAGACCGAAGGTCCTCGATTTGAGTTCCTGTGAGAGATCGTGGATGTGAACTGCTGAGGATTCTCGCACTAGGACGAATCGGTCGTCCAGTGCTTCCAGGTTCTCACTGATGGTCTAGCTTTAATCGATTCGTGAATTTAGCTGTGAACATATATTTATTACTAACTTTTTACCCAATGTTCAATTTATTTGAAAATATCAAACCCCACCTTAGCATCGATACTTGTATACTCAGACTTGTAAATTTTACAGAATAGACAAATTGGCTAACAGAAGAATCCGAGGGACGCATTTCGCCTCAACCAGATGTACCTGTACCTTAGTATTGAAGTCTCCATTGACAGTCGAATTCAGTACCCTCTGTTTCATACTCAAAGGTATTATACACTAAGCTACTGAGTTCATACAGCAACTGACTATTCAGTCTTGAATATCAACAACAGGATAATTCAAAACCTTGCTAATAATATTTAAACTATAATATTTATTATGTCGAACCTTTTAAAAATGAAGAAACTTACTTCACGCAACAATCCAAATAACACATCAGTATTTAAAGATCTTTCATGTGCTTCATCCATGATAATTGCAGAGTATGGATCAAGATCAGATTCACGTAGTGACTCACGTAATAGAATTCCATCAGTCATATATTTAATTAGAGTGGAAGGAGAAGTACAATCTTCGAATCTTATAGCATAACCAACTTCTTCACCTAAACGTACATTCATTTCTTCAGCAACTCGCCGAGCAACAGACATAGCAGCAACACGGCGTGGTTGAGTACAACCAACCATACCATAGGTTGTAAAACCATCTTCATGTAAATATTGAGTTAATTGAGTAGTTTTACCACTTCCAGTCTCTCCAACAATCACTACAATCTAGTTTAAATGAAAAAGAATTTCAATACAAGATTATCTACTACGTACATTGAAGTATTTGTCAGAGGTTGAGAAAAACTACACCAATGGGCTTTACAACTTGATATATTCAATTATTTTATCATGTTGCCACTGGATGTCAGCAATCCTTCGGAGACAACGATGATCGAACACAGAGAGTCGTATAACATCCTCAACTCGGAGAGGCCAGGTTTCACAAGCATAGAGCAAAACTGCTCTCACCGACGCGTTGTAGATCCAACCTTTTACAGCCAGACTAACATCACGAAGGCGCCAAAGATGGCCCAGATTGGCATAAGCCGCTCTGGCTTTCATTATACGTGCATCGATTGTTATGTTGACACCTATCTTTTACACTTCAATGAAATATTGTCACTTTAATGCTTCACATTGCCTTCGGGACTGCTACACAGACTGTATTTGGTACTCTAGAAATGTTTCATAACTTCTTTAATAACGCGACACCCCGTATTTTAATAAGAACTACTATATATGAAAAATAAGTATAAATAGAACCATACAACATTACTAAATGACATCATCGAGAAAAGATAATGATAGTAATATCTAAGAACAGAATGTAGCTAACAATTAAATAAGTGAACTGAGTTGCAATTAGTATACCAGTTTCAATATTTAAATTACTACCAAAAACAAATAACTAATGATTAGAACCTACTTGATGTTCTTTAATCATTCTCAGTAAGGATGTCCTTACAGAAAATACTGGTAAGTATTGTCGTTGTTCTACAATAGTTTTTCGTGTAGCGAACTCGCTAACCGCTTCAGATTTCATATCTCCTACTTTGTCGGCAAATGTCTGTGCATCACGATGTGATTTTTCTGTCCAATTGTCTTGTTCTTCCGGAGCTTTTATACCCATAACTTCCCCTATACGTGTGCCAGCCAATTGCCATTCTTTCTTTTGTGCTCTTCTACGTTCTTTTTGTTCTCGAAAATATTTCACTATGGCACTACCTTTCTGAGCAACTTTGGCCATTATACTCTCTGGGTCCTACAATTAAAAACAGCAAAATCATTTAACATGCCTCAAAAGAAAATCCCTGTGCTTAGAGTATAGAATTCGATCAATCATCAATGGAATTTCATAATATTATAAAAACTGTTACATATAACTGTTATTACTTTTTAAAACAATTCCAAGACAGTTCTGTCGTTTTCTAAAGTACTGCCCTCTCAAGTCAAAAGATAATAGAACCGAGATTTCTGACAATTTGTAAAATTCAACAGCATATGACAAGATGATTTAACATATTTTCGTCTCAAACATAAATTATATTATTACATCACAAGGAACTGCGATGCATACAGAGGTCCAAAACAACACACACAGATATCCTATGATAAAATTCCCAACAGACGAAAAGGAATTTAAAACAGTCCAGACTTTGTAGAAATATGTTCACCAGCTACTTTAAAGGTATAACTTTATTTTAGTATTCTCTAGTTCAGATATTTTTAAAACATTGACAATAGAAGCTTGGTGAATGTATACAATGTATACTATACTAACGAAACTGTGTTTCTGTTCACAGTTAAGTTCGTATGGCAAGTGGATTTAAATCGACCATGTCAATGATAAAGGAATGATAAAAGGTTAAAAATAATGAAATCCCTCAATATTAAATATTGCCGGGTGCTTGTAAAACATTGAAATCATTAATAATATACAGATAGATGACTATACACCTCTGCAAGTAGTCAACAAGAAGCCAGCATAAGTTGTATCAATCAATTTTACAAACCAAAATGCGGAAGAGAACACGATAAATAAAATGTAGTTTACAAACGGATATAATTATGATATTTTCATTTATTCGATGATAGGTGCTGTTAAGACAATTTATACCAAAAGAAATTTACATAGTAACGAACGAGATCAAAATATTGCCATTTTCTACTGAAGAAAGAATGTTGTGCAGAAACCTTGGTTATGTAGCTGGGATATTAAGTCAAGTGTCATTTAAGAGTAAACTGTTTTTATAAACCGATGTCAGTTAGGAAACCATTGAACTGAAGCAGAACTGAATAATTAACAAGCTTACGTGAGTGAGATTAGGTTTTTAAGTCTCAAAATGAGTATGACACCTTTGAATTTTAAAGTCGAAAACCAGTGGTCCAAAGTTTTTATTTTGATCAGCTCATGATGTGGTGGGTTGTTTATAAATGAAACTAGATGACTTAAAGGCATTCTGTTCACAGGATCTCAAGGTCTTTAGTTTGACCCAATAGGTATCTACTGCTGAGGACGGTTATCCAAATCTCTTTAACCTAAAATGGATCTTCAGCTGAAAACTACATTTGCGTAGTACACATTTTCACTAGACCACTGAACTTATTAATAGTATATTGAGTTATTAATCTTTCGCAGATAAAAATATGAGGGAAAAATACTAATATATTAAAAATTCTATCACTTCACCTTGACAGGAATAATAGGTTCAGGTTGACGAGTGAAAACAATTCGTCCATCCAAAAATGGTGGAAGTATATTACGAACTAACAAATGAACTCTAGCTTCACCTTCTTCATCAAAATCTTCATCCTGTTCAAAATCTACTCGTTGAACAACTCCAGATCTTAACATGCGATTGTGTTCCCATGCTTGATTATCTTTATGAACTTGGACGGCTTTTGCAGTTAAACGTTGTTTATGTCGTTTTTTACGTTCTGCTAATTGACGTTCCTTTTTAGCAGCATACTCTTCAGGAATGTCTAGGGATAATTTTTTTTAAAAACAGTCATAATATACAGAATAATATTTATTGCTTGAGACAATATATAAATAAATGACATGTGGATAGAAAATGTCACTAATAAGATCCATCACTAGATATTAAAATTGGTAAATTTCTGTGTTTACTTGGTTCGATTTGCCGAAGTAACTTTCATAGGTTATATTTATGAGTGGGGTTCGGTTGTTCATTTTATACTACCCCTATTCTAATAGTTGTTTAACCATTAACTTTAGCTGCCACCTTGATGTGGTGGTTGAGTTTGCTCATCGTGATGACCTAATCAAACCATATGGGTTAGGACGATCATTTTTCTAAGTTTTGCTATGCCAAAAGGGTTGGTTAGAGAACATTAAGACTGAAACAATAACTTATGTTCACAACTGAACCTGCCAACTCAATGAGTAGGGAAGAAAATTGAGTTTTGATAATCGTTTTTTATAATGGACTTACAACAACTAAGTAGAACTGATAAATGATTTTCTGTAATTTGTAACTCTTGCATCACAATACTTTGATGGTCAATCGTACTTACTTGAAGGTACTAAGATCAGCCTAAAAAGAGGTCAAAAATATGATCAGCTGATGTGTTTAAAGTAGAACCAGACAACAACGTTGTTTCTAGTATTTTTCTTGATTATTATCTCCAATCTCATTTATTACCAACAAACAACCAGCATAACTTAACGGATAAAGGTCTACACACCTGTTTTTCGTTAGTAAGGTAATACAGTAAAGTTTAGACATTTCAAATTATTGTTTTGATAATGACTGACAAATTAGCCGAATATTTCTTATGTGACACAAATACTGTAACTTAGTGACGGGCTTATACTTTCAGCTATCCTAAATTCTTTGGATTCAATGAATGAAATACAATCATAGAGTTGGAAATATAGTCCATGTAACTAAAAATAGAAAGTAGACAATTATGACACCAAGATCGTCTAATGAAGAACATAGGTCATATGTCTTAGAAATTATGAGATATTTCAAGAACCTGACCTATCACTGACACTTTATCATTTGGAAAAACAAATTTGGCTGAACTTGAAGAGAGAAAAAAATACACTTTCGCTGTTACATAAAGTGGATAAGTTTAAAAAATTTCACATTGAAATTTCATTGTTATTTGGATATTTAACTGAGCAAAATACCATTAGTGTTTAAATAAAAAAGTATTTTGTCAAGTGATGGCGAATAGTAGGATTCATTGATAAAAGTACTATGGCCAAACAACTTACCAGAAAACGGATGGTTATCATTATCATAACCATCATCCATTTGATACCAATTACGATCTAAGCGTTCATTTTCAGCCTTAATATCATCACTATCTTCCTCTATCTCAGTAGAATCAGGTTTCACACTATCGCCATCGTTTTCACTGGAAAGTTGTGGATGAGACTGGCCATGAGTGTGGCGACCCGAATGCCCTGTGTTATTTTTATTCGATTGCATCCATGAGTTATGCTTAAAACTTGGAGTAGGCATAGGAGTATATGTATATCGATCATTATTGGAATTACGAGCTAGTGATCCAGTAGTGCGAGGGGTAGTAGATCGACTAGATCCTAAGGCAGAATCATCCCAGCTAGAATGTCCTGGAGACCGTCCCCCAACATTATATATTTCAGGAGTTTCAAACCGGTTGCTACTTACTCCAGAAGTACTTCTATTTTCCCGACTGCTGTGACTAGGTGTTTCATCTTCCCATTCTGCTTCTCTCCGATGTCGAGTGCTGAGAGATTCTTTTTCTCTGGTTGATTCAATGCGAGAATAGTCTAACAAGAAATTAAAAAATGATTATTTAAGAAATAATTCCTTTAAAGTTTATTCGCACAGTAAAACTGTTTGGGCAAGAAATTGAAACGTAATCAACAATTCGTAATACCACGAATGTTTAAAGTGAATTTAACCGAGTATAAATAACTAAAATGTTGGAAAATATGCACCTGGTTCCCTAAGAATAGTTTACACTGAAATTAATGGACATGGTATCCGGAAAGGTGAATAGTGCAGACTATCATTTAGGTTATTTATTTATTCGAACACATAAATATTGGTACAAGGAGGCACCAGATATATATGCGCTACACATTTAGGTAAATTTGAGTATTTCGGGATTGTAATCTGCTAACACATTATGAGCGTAATAACGCTTATATACATGCCACAGATACTGTAAGAAGTAGTCCAGAATCGGCAATACCACGAACAGTAAATAAATGAAGGGAAGAGGTTGTGACGTTGGTTAGGACAGGAATGTTTAGATTTGCATTTTAACGATAAAATGATAAGTGTACGTATACTTCACTTCTCAACATAGAATAAGTTGTGGCTGAGAACTTATTTGAAGCAAAGCCATTAACTAAAAGCATTGGAACCTAGGAGTTATGTTATAAATTTAACTGTAAAACGATTCATTTAGACATGCGTACGCAAAAGAATTACTGTTAATTAGGATTCAAAAGGGGTGAAATATCTCTGCACTTGCTTTACGGTTCCGCAATCACAAAAGGAGTTTTAAGAAGTCGTAGTAGCATTTAAAACAGGTAGTAACACTGCGTATTTACATATTAAAGTTTACCTGATGATTTTCGAGATTCTGAGTAGTTTTCACTAATTTTTCTGGATGTTGATACAAGACCGGTTTTTAAGCGTTCTTTCTGGTCACGTTCACGCCTTCTTGCCTGAGAATCGAAATATTCTTTGCTAACACCCCCACGATTGGAAGGGGTTTCAACGCGCCTTTCCCTATAAAACCTAATACAAAAGTAAGTCTTATGGAAAAATTTCATTACCTTTCTTTATTTGTAACATCGCGCTTGTTAAACTGTAGATTAAGATCCTGGGATTCCTGTCGCTTTTTTGCCGCCAACTTATCAAGTCCAAATAAGGACTTTTGAGGTTGTTTGAAATTTTCTTTCGACTTAGTTATTATGAGCCCACCAACTTCGCTTGTAGATTCATGTAGACGAACTTTCTCCTCAAAAAGATCCATATAGTCGAACACGGATATTTTTCAGGGCTCTATATTCAGATATTTAACAGTAACTTCTCGAACTTTTTAGATGACGTTTGATAGGAAAACGTTTAGTAGCTCGAAACAGACTGAAAATGTGATCAAGATAAAAAGAACAACTTAAGAAATCCAAAGGAGAGATAAATTGCACATAACCAGCATACATCAGTCAGTCAGTTAGCTACAACGTAGGACCAGACACATATATGCATCGGTCCCAATTGCCATACCTCATTAGCACAACAAGATGAACACCGAATTCACAGAAGTAGTTAATTTAATAGTGGCAATAGATGAAAGATTGCATATACAGGAAGAAAGATATGAAGCAATTTTTATCTCATAGTTTAACGGAAAATAGAGAGTGTATACACCTACGCCATTGCGACCGATTTTGAGCCATGTCACACACAGTCTCCAACCATTGGTTACGATAGTAACGTGGACCACAACTAAGTAGTCTGCATCTACCAACATGGCTCAGACTAGAAGTTAGTGACTTCAAGAACTGATGCCACGTTTTGGTTTGGCCGCCCTTAAATCTCTTCCAACCATCCCCAATATTAGTCAGCATAGCGCGTCGTGGTAATCGGTGTTCAGGCATACGCAACACGTGACCCAACCATCTCAGTTAATGAAGATTCATGACCTCATCAACTAATTTACCATCATTCCCTAATACCCTATGTTCAACCTCACTATTACTTACCCGGTGATCCCAGCAGATGCGACCAATATTTCTAAGGCATCTGTGATCAAATACTAGTAACTTACGAGTATCTTCTACTCCTAAGGGCCACGTTTTACAGCCGTAAAGTAGAACAGAGCGAACTGCTGAGCATTATACTGATCCCCTAATTGATGGACAGATATCTGGCTTTCGCCATAGGTGACGTAATTTGGCAAACGTCAAACGAGCGTTCTGAATCCATGCAGAGATTTCGTTAGACACCAACCCATTAGGGCTGATCAGACTTCGAAGATAAGTGAAGTTGTTGACATGTTCGACTACTTCACTCCCTATCCTTAGTTCAGGTGTTGACGCAGGCCAGTTCTGGAGCAACAATTTACATTTTGAGGGGGGGAAACGCATCCCAAACATCCTGGCACGGTTGCTCAATGATACTAATAAGATCTGCATCTTATCAGCGTGTTCACCCAACAGGACTATATCATCTGCGTATTCTAAGTATATAAGCACTTGCTGACAATTTACAGGTTATCTACAAAAACGCTCCAAATAAAATCATAAAACTATCTTCGTTTACTGCTCCAACCCAGTGGTTGGTTAGGAAAGCCTATACAATCTTAGCGTTCCTCGTTAACATCTTTATCGATAAAATACTGAGAACAGCGTCGAAAAAATTAAAAAATGGTAGTAAAGTTATGTTACTTAAAGACTTTCTAACCATAAAGACAAAAATTATGTCGGTTTATTATGTTATAGAGCAGGCTACTAAAATAATACTTAGTCATCAATCGTAAACGCCACATATTTCTTCCCTACTATATGATTTACAAAAAACTATGGATTAGATTTTTGTGAAAATACGTTAGAGAATGTAGGGATTTTTGTAAATCTGTGGGCTTTGTTGGTAATGCAAAAGATTGTGTTTACATGAGCATATTTAAGTTCGAAATAAACTATATTAGTCTAGACAACCTGAGTTCTGTCGTGTCTGACCAGAAAATACGAGATTTACGATGTAGCAATGGAGAGGGGGTATGCCAATTGTGTCCAGGAACGATTACATGGATTTAGTGTCGACGAGTGAGGCATGATATTGCAAAATGAGAGCTGGTTGTTAAGTTAGCGTACCTCACTGCATAGTAATTGATGGTCTACATTTCATCGGAATGGTGCGTTATTAGTTAGGCTCAGTTAGGAAAAAGGGTGATTCTAACGTAATTTTTCATTATGTCCTTACCAAGAAGATGCATTTTGACTGAATGGCATTTTTGCCGATTGTCATTTTAGAAACACACCTTTTCAAACTTCTTTTCATGGCTTTTATTTAATGACCTTTCTTATTTCTTCACACATGCTACTCTAATTTCGGAACGAATTCAGAAATTTCGGTTGTCTTTTGGCAACTTTGTTCACTTTTAACGTAAGGAACCAGTAAACGGGTTCACTGCATGCCAGTTCGCTTTTTTATTTCAAGTTTGAAACATGTCTATTAAGAACAGATTTTTGTGGGGTCATCATTGCTTGAGCATAGGTGTCTTTAAACCACGCATGATTAGCACCAAGTGACCATTGCTGATGTTGGGCACAGGACACTGAGTACGGATGGCAAGTCGGTTGATAAGGTATTGAGTCTTTACCAACTATTTTTGAGATATGCTTTGGGTATGCCAAACTATCACCAACTTTGGCGGAGGATGTCACTTGGTGTAAGCTGGAGATCTACGGGTAGCTAAAATGAGACACAGCACAAGTCCAAAAGGCCATTGACAATTGAACCGAGAAATATCAATACATGTAGACTATCTGGTTATCGCCCATGTAATTATCCCAACTAACTGTTAGAGAGTTTGAGCGACATGGTTCAAATTGTTTGCAATGAAACAGGTGTTCACACTCTTTATCTCCACATAGATCCTGAATAACGAAATCTTTTTATACTCTTCACCCTTCTAAATACAATCTTTACTACCACTGCTGATACCATTAATACTTAGACTATAATAATGTTCTATAGTGCTTGAAATGATTGCGTGGATTAAGTGGATACGGTGTGATTTTCTTGTGATTCGTTTAGTTTTTTGATTCATTACTAATTCAAAAAGGCTCCAATGAAGATGATGACATACTTTTGGCCGTAACACAAAGTGGAGTAATCGTTTGTCCAGTAACAGTAAGTCGGCAAAAGTGGTGAAAAAGAATGGTTAAATGCCCCGAGGATCGAGATAATGCCGCAATAACTGTTTTGATCAGTCTTGTTTTCGCCAAACCCAAACCTCAAGGATGTCAAATCTTAGTTACTCCCTACGGTTTTCACTTGATAGTCGAAGATTCATATGAAGCTCTTAGTACCATGATGTTTTTTTAATTTCATACGGAATTCGGCCGGAAATTAACGCAGGATTGTTGTTCATACGACACTTGTATTTTTTAGGTATATAATCCAGACACTTTTTGTACAAATCGACAAAAGGAACTCTTTAAAATGAGAGCCTACTACTTGCCTACCGTCTGTATGACGCTTTACAAAACTTGTGCCAAGGTTAGTCTCGAAATACAATATCCAATTTCATTGTGCGGTTCAAATGGTTCAAATGGTTGAGGACGGAATAGAAGAAGCTTTTGCTTAACGGGCTTCCGTGTCTGGTAGCAGTGGATCACCAATACCTCCAGACAAGAACCTAGGTATATGAACGATAATAGAAGAAAAAAAGAATTTGGTAAATCATAATAATATGTTATCCTTAGTCCTTAAGAATAAGTCAAGTTTCCTCTTAAAGAACTCCTGGAAGGTCGCTTGGACTAGCTTAGTCGGCAGCGAATTCCAGCACTTGGCAACCCTAACGGAGTAGAAGTTGTGTCTGCAGTCTGTTCTGCTATGTAGGGTCTCCAATTTCTGGGTGTTACCTCTCAGGTTAGTGTTATGACTAAGCTTAAGAAGATGATTAAGGAGATGACCAGAAGTATTAAGGATACTATAAGTCATAAGAAGATCACCTCTAAGACGCCTGTACTCTAACGGGTAAAGGTTAAGTGATTTGAGGCGCTCTTCATAAGGTTTGAATTTGAGTCCCCGAACTGATTTCGTGGCTCAACGTTGTATACGTTCCAGAGTGACCTTATCCTTTTGGAGGGAGGGAGGAAATACTATGTTTCCGTACTCTAAATGGGGACGAATAAAACTGTTGAAGATTATATGGAAGGTTCTACCGTCAAACTGGCCAAAAATGCGCTTCAATGTTACCAGTGCAAGGTTTGCTTGAGAGGCGTTTTTGTCACAGTTCGCATACGATTTCAGGTCGTAGGGTACCAACACTCCTAAATCTTTTTCAACTTGGGAAACTTCTAGAGAGGAGTTACCTAAGTTATAACTATGGTCTGCAACATGTCTCAGATGGACTACCTTGCACTTTGAAGTGTTGAAGGTAAGTCCGTTGTCGTCTGCCCAACTTTGAAGTCGAGTCAGATCCTCCTGAAGAACTAGTATATCATTATGATTACGTATCTGCCTCCAAAGTTTCACATCATCAGCAAAAAGCAATAAGTTGGATGGAACTTGTTGAGGAAGATCGTTAATATAAATCAAGAAGAGAAGAGGTCCTAGTATTGAACCCTGGGGGACCCCACTAGGACATTCCATAGCCTGAGAGAGAGTGAAGTTAACCCTGACCTTAAAGTGTCGGTTTTCTAAATATGAAGAGAGCTAATCAATCAAAGGGGGTTTTATACCCAATTGTCCAAGCTTCTTGATAAGACATGCGTGGTTGACCCTATCAAAAGCTTTTGAGAAGTCCAGGTAGATGACGTCAACCTTCCCCTTGCGATCAAGGATGGTTGTCCATCTATCCACCGCAGTCAGCGGGTTGGTCATACAAGAATGACCTTTTCTGAAACCATGCTGTTGAGGCGAGAAGAACTTTGAGGATGATAAGTATTCTAGTATACCGTCGTATACTAGGGATTCCATGATTTTTGAAGGTATGGAGAGAAGGGCCACTAGTCGGTAGCTTGAGGGTTCACTGCGTCGACCTTCTTTGAAAATTGGTGTGATGTGGGCCAACTTCCATATTTCCGTGCTTAAATCTGATACATAATATCTTTATCACGAGCTTCTATGAACCGAGTGGGTCCTTTGTGTTTTTTCTTGTTGTTCCGTTCTAGTTCCATGAACTGGTGAAAACTACTTTTTTTTCTTTGCACTCATTTCCCGATTTTCAGATTTCAGTATGGTAAATTCTGGAGTTCTGGAATTGAACAAGTAGCTGCCCTTCGTTATTCCCCCAAAATGTCCAAGCCACCTTTTAAACAGGAGCTTGCAGCCTGAACGCAGTTTTAAGGTTTGAGGCTGACTAATGTTGTGAATACTGTAGTGAACATATTAGTGTATATACGGTAAATATACGTCTTAACCCCCAAAATCAATAGTTCTGTAACTCTTTAACATTTGGTGCTGACTACACTAGTTTTAATGAACCCACCTAACTGACGGCTCTCGGTCATACATCCTCACCATGTCACGAATGGGTACACCGTGCTGCACATCTTTAACCGGTAGCCAGCTTAGATTGACCACTTCAATATTTTATCAAATATATCTACGAACCTCCTCATTCCTGACTTCCGATTTCACTAGACTGCCACGTTTCGATCATAAAAGGTGTTACTGATCAAATTGTTGTCAAACTCTGAATACTTATGGCATCTTTAACCCCATTGATCTGTAAACCCCATACCTGCGTCCTCGCGGTAGTCGCCCGTGGCTCACTGCCACCCCAAAACCCTTGTGAGATCGGACTATTTGCACTGACTTTGTCCTTATGCTATATCTATTTACTTAGTATCCCTTATGTACACATAGACGCACTATGCCGTGTCTATAGACATTAACTATTTTAAGAGCAGCTAGTCAGGACATTAAGTTCCGCCTGAAGTGTACATGCATCTGCTTCTCCCGTTTTTTTTTATATTTTATTTAAACACATAAATATTGGTAAAAGGAAGCACCAGATATATATGCGCCATACAAATCTCATTCGATTTATGTGAGGGCTGTGATACTGCTCAGGTGCCCAAACTGAAGCAAGTGGTTTTCTTAGGAGGCACACCCGGAGCCTTTGACCGAAAGATCTGATCCTCAAGGCAGTGGAGCATGGTGAGGATATGCATTCCCATGATAGCCGGTGATCAACGATTGATTCGTACGCCATTTGTTCCCTCAGGATACTGGAGCCCATGTGCACCATCGGTTTGGAATCAGGGTTTTCCAACTCCCCTAAGTGGATCGTCTATCCTTCTCCCGTTATTTATTGCTAGATTTCCACATCATCAGCGTATGATAGCATCGAAGACTAGTACTGGTTGTCTTAGAAGAGCAATTCGAATTCACTTTACTTCCTGTCAACGACCTACCAGGCAATCCTTAAGCCACTTTAGGAGAGGTCCTGCAATACCAAGATTTTCCAGCTTCCATAGCACTCTATTTGTTAACACCTTGTCAAATGCTTTGCTGGAGTCTATTTAGACAATAAAACCTCGGCATCTGATGGAAGCACAGAATATGATGGACATCTCAGAATCATTTAGACGACCTGGACATCGCAGATAACTTAGACCTCCTATCCCATGCATATGAACAAATATAGACGAAGACAAAAAATGTAGCAGCAGCCTCTTCATCAACAGGCCTCAACATACACAAAGGGAAAAGCAAGATTCTCAAATACAACATGGAGAACACCAACCCAATCACACTTGATGGAGAAACTCTGGAAGATCTAGAAACATTCACATACCTGGGATGCATCATTGATAAACAAGGAGGATCGGATGCAAATGCGAAGTCGAGGATTAGCAAAGCAAGGACAGCATTTCTACAATTGAAGAACATATGGAACTCAAAACAACTGTCAACTAACTTCATAGTGATAATCTTCAATACGAACGTCAAGACAGTCATGCCGTACAGAGTAGAAACGTGGAGAACTACTACAACCATCGTCAAGAAGGTACAAGTATTTATAAACAGTTGTTTATGCAAAATACCCATCACTCACTGACCGGATACTATCAGCAACAGTGTTTTATGGGAGAGGACAAACCAGCTTTCAGCTGAAGAGAAAATTAGGAAAAAACGTTGAAAGTGGATAAAACATACATCAAGGAAATCACCAAACTCCATCACGAGGCAATCCCTAACTTGTAATTCGGAAGGGAAGCGGAAAAGAGGAGGACCAATGAACATACTACGTCGGGAAACTGAAGCAGATATGAAAAAAATAAATAAAGACTGGAAGTAACTGGAAAGGATTGCCCTGGACAGAGTTGGATGGAAAATGCTGGTGAGCGGCCTATGCTCCTCCACGAGGGGTAACAAGCGTAAATAATTAAGGTATACAACATCCACTGATTTTCTGTTGTCTGTTGTCCTTATCCATTTCTTTGTTCGTTGTGCAAGATACTTTTCTGAAACGATGTTGTTCGCTGTTGATGATGCTACAGGTATTGAGGTTTGACGACACTTTACCGGCAACTCCTTCTATAATTGATTCGTGTTCACCTAGTGAAATCGGAAGTCAGAAGCGAGAAGGATGGAAAACATGTATGATATATTATCAACATATCGATAAGTGATTGATCTAAACTGGCTAGTGATCGCAGGAGAAGTTGAGCACGGCGTTCCCACTCGTGATCTTGTGCAGCTTGTCAAATGCTTTGCTGAAGTCTATGTCCACCATAACCACTGATTTTATGTTGTCTAAAGCCTTTAACCAATACTTTGATTGTTGTGCGAGATAAACCTATTCTGAAACCATGTTGTTCACTATTCAACAAGTTATTGGTTTTCAAAAATGTCATTATGGTCTTTTCGACCATTCTTTCCAGTATTTTAATCACGAAACTTGTAAGGCTGACAGGTCTGTAGTTCGATAGAAGTTGTCTTGATCCTGTATTATTAACGAGTGACGATTGCATCCTCCCAGTCCATGGGTAGCAAACCTTTGTCAAGTGACATACTGAATATCACATTCAGCTGGGCTGCAAAATATTGTGCAATATGTCTCAGGATTTGATTTGTAGTTCATTCGATCCTGTTGACTTTTCCATGTCTAAGTTCCTAAGAGCTTCAAGTATATCGTCTCTATTAAAGTCCAAGTTAAACAGACCGTATGGAAAATACGCAGAGCCTTTGGTCATGTCAACGCTAGAAAAATTTTGACTTTGTTTACAGCAATCGTGAGTCCTAAACTCGAGTACTGAACATAAGCGGCTTACCCTTGTCTAAAAAGATACCGTGAATTTTTAATAAAGGTTCTGAGAACGTCGAATAAACTGATTTCAGGAATAGCTAAGCTCCCGTATGATGCTTGACAGGCTTGTAGTGACCGGCTTGTCTCGACAAGAACACAACTGAAAGAATAGAAACAATTATTATTATTGTAAACAATTGTACCAGCGACTGTTTTAATGTACTTGTTTAACTGTATCAAGCTCACTTCTTGTTCCGCTATCCGCCTTGTTTGGTTCGATCTTTCTTGCGCTCTGCCCATTTTGCCCGTACTCGTTGGCACGTCTCGGTATTCTTTCGA